TATGCATGGGGACTTCGAAAATATTGCATTCAATTGTATGGAATCAGAGGATTTATTTATTGGAAGACATCGCTTGATTTAGTGTTGCGCTTCAAAATGCCGTGTTGGATGCCATCTAGCGAGACCTGAAACTTAGTACTGGGAACTCGAAGCAATGACATTAGTGGGAAACGTGAAAAGAAAGGACGCTTGAGTACAAAGCCTTATTGTAAAAGAAACCACTTGAAAGTGGGGAAACTGTTTTGGTGGAAACATATAGACTCATTTGTAATTAGAAACACATAGATGGCGGTGACATCCTAGTCACACATACCATAGATAGATACATTTTGAGAGGCATTAAAGCAAAATTATACTGATGAGTTACTACAGATCCAAGAAAGCGAACATAAAGTCAAGGGTCTAGCTGTGGTGTGTGCTACCTTTGTTAACAGACATAAGTAGTATATAGCGCTAATCAGAACTGAAATATATAGCAGCAAAAGGCTGAGAAGATGGAATTGAAGAGAACAGAAGTGTGAACAAAGAGTAATTTTAATAACAGTAGGAATGAAGGAGAGATGTACTTTATGGGGGACAATTGATAGAAGATGTGGAAATGAATTATTTAATGTACAGTTTCCGTATATTATGAAAAATTCTGTAATTTTGTAATATCTGATAAATTAGCTTACCTCACACGAGTGTTCGTTCAGTACACAGCTACTTGAAATCATTAATACACATTATTTTCGCGATCAGTTTTCCGTGTGTTATCTCCATGTCATCATGCATTTTCTGACCAAACGTAGTAGTGTTAGCTTTTTGATAGACCACAGAGATCACTTCGTCCCAGCAAAATTAACTTAACAACAACGATACAGACAGTATCAGATAGTACAGATAGTATCAAATACACGAAACTGGACAAAAATGTACTGGCTGTCACTTAGTTTGTGTTCACACTTACTGTTCTCACCACGTCTATAACTCTGGAAGAGATTTCTTAAGTACTTTATAAGAAGTTCTAGACACAAATTCTGTCTTGGTCGGGATAGTGACGGTCAGTATTAAGGGATGGAAAGTAATTTGCTCACTGAGAAGCGGATGCAGACACTTTAATCGATGTCTTTCAGATATATTAGAACAGTGGTTGACCTCATCATAATTCATAACAATCTAGGAAATCCAGGTAATCTCGGTTATTCGGTCCTGTCCTTTTATTGAAGTTCATGCAGTCGCCATAGAATTTTCAAAAAATCATATTTCATTCTGCCTAATTTTACGTGTTCTGTCGGTTTATGCAACAGAGTTTTCTCCATCAAACTAGTTTAGCATGCTACAAATACTTTTCTACTTATAAACTACCTTGATACGAATGGAGTGGCAGTAGCGTCAATGAATCAATGCTCTGACAAACTGAGTAATCTAATAAATTTCTTATAACCCATTATTCATAACTTTTGTCTCCTAGACACTCAAATAATCATATACGTTATATATTGGAGAACTTGTTTGACCTTACACAGTCTTCGCTACCATTGACTACATTTTGTAACGTATTCGAAATCTTAGTCTGTACAGTGCTACATTATCTGCTTCTAGTTTTGATGTCAAGATTATCTTAGCCCGACTCTTGTTTTTTAATAGTTTACGTTTTTTACCATCTTTGACGAATGTAGGTTCATTTTGTGTTGATCCTGGGTTGTTAGTTGACCTTTTCAACATTCGTCACCTACGCTGTTCTGGATGCCTCCCTATTACGCGAATCACCTTCTAGTTAGATGCAAACTGCTACAACGTTGTCAATCTATAGTTCAGAATATTAAACTGTCTTAAACTCACATTCGCGTTGTTTCTAGTTGTTGTTGGTTGCTTTGATTGCTAATCGTAAATTCGTTCTCTGTGCTTACTGAGTTGTCGGCTCACTTTTTCTCTTGTCCTTTTCCATCTCAGATTTTTCCACCTTAAACGTGCCAATTTTATTCAAAACATGGGTGATGTGACGTATCTCACAGTTAAAATCATATCTCTAACAAGAACTGTTAGAGTAATATGTATTTGAAAAAATCCTGAACTGTTCGTATCATCATTCATGATGACTAATAACGAATAGGTTGAAGTAAAAGTTAGGTAGTATCATTATTCAATCTATTTTCAAGCAAATAAACAGGCTAAAGTGCATACCAACAATAATTGGAATCAAAGTGGAGTGAATGTGAATATGTATAAAACATGACTGAAGTGTTTTCAGACCAGAGGATCCAAACAATGACTTCTGACTTATTCAATTGAATCAGTTTCAGTTTGGGAAGGACAGGAGGCTCGATAGCCTATGTTAGTCCTGGCAATGGTGGTCTCTCAGTTGATCCAACTTTCTTTTGAAAGAGTCGACGGATGGAGCCTCAACCACGTGCTGAGGTAGTGAATTCCACTCGTTGATGATTCGATGGGAAAGTCGATAGTCACCTGACAAGTAATTTGTTCTCGGCTTATGGACTTTTTTGGAGTGTCCTCGTAAATTCTCTGTTGTGGAAGACAAGAAAAATGAGGGCATATCAGGTGCAAATTTATCACTAAGCAATTTGTAGACAGTAATCAAGTCGCCTCTAGTTCTGCGATATGACAACGGGAAAAGATTCAGCTTGGCCAGTCGAGATTCATACGGAAGCTTTGCTATTCCGAGAATCAGCTTAGTCGCCGTTCTCTGAATCTTTTCCAGAAGCTCACTGTCTTTTTTTAAACAGGGGCTAGCCGCTTGTATGCAGTACTCAAGTTTAGGACGAACGAACACTGTATACAAAGTCAAAAACGTTTTAGCGTCGACATGACTAAAAGCTCTACGTATTGACCACAAGATCCTAAAACCTTTGGCGGCTATTGCACGGCAGTGTGCAGTAGTCTTTAAGTCTTGACTAACGATAACGACTGAAGTGATTGTCCAGTTAGCACTAGATATAAAGCTTTATGACGTTGTGTTGAAACTAGAACTACAGTAGTACTAGGATGTCCAGCAGTTTCATTGGAATAGAAATTACACTAGAACTAGAGTTATAAGAACTAAGAATTGCATTTCACGGACTAAAACTGAATTGAACTGAAGTGTGGTGTTATGTACTGAAATGCTTTTAAAATGTGCAATACTTAAATTATTGGACAAATAGGCAGACGGACAGGTAGATAGATATTAGAAGGATATCAATTTCGGGTTAATCACAAAACTGAGCTCAAAATAAACAACAGAAAAGAATCGGTAGATGGATAGATAGTCACACTTATGTGGTTCTAAGTTGGTCCTTATGACAAACTACCAATGGACTTAATTAAATGTGTTCGTTTTTTCCAAATCTTCATCGGGTTTTATTTTTGATCACATTAAATCATGTTATATTTACTACTAAAGCTGAATTGCCTCAAGGGATTTATTAGAATATGGTTTCAGTTGTTTAGCTAGTGGATTCTTCCGCTACCTACCTATTGAGGTTTCAATAACTAATGAGCCATCATTAAAAACCTTCTTAAGATCACTCTTAGAAGAACTTTACTATAACTTGACTTGAACATTGACAATATTTGTTACAACTAGAGGACTTCTATTATTTAGTATGAAGCCTTCAGATTCACAAAGCCTTATTACTATTGAACTAGATTTGAACCTTTTTGCACTAGCGAATCATGGATCAAGCCTCAAGTAAGGGTCTTTATCGATAAAAAAACTACAAAATTTGGGACACGTAACTGAAAAACATTTCTTAAGACGAAGCGTATATGAACACGTCGTGTATCATTAGTGACATTTAGTGTGGTTTTTTTTACATACCATAAATTAACTATTAAGTAGGCAGTTTGTCTATAACAAGAATAATTCTCTGTAATTGCCTACGTTCACAGGTAAAAGAGAAATGTATAGTTTTAAGTGCCTCAACAATATCTTACCAAATTGCACATAAATGCATGTCCTTTACACTTGACGCCTGATTTTTTAGGTTTTGTATGCATAATGTAATATTCTAAAAATTCCAAAGGGCGTTAGTATTATTAGTTTTAGTAAGTTTACATACATTTATTAGTGGGATATAGTCTTTGTGGATAGTGTTCTGTACAGAAGGCTCAGGAATTTGTTTTTGTCTAAAATGTGTATCTGATCCTGTACACTCCATAACTAATCATTGTTCAGTCCTTTTCCCGGTTGCTGTGAGGTTATAAAAATCATCTACTTAGGTAACAAAACAGTGTTCTGAATTATTCAATGAGATCATAAAATTTTTGCTGATATATGAGTAAGTGTGTGATTACTAAATTTTACACAGTAGGTGTTGTTTTTAAAGTTAAGAATTTGTAAGTAGTGACATAAGTACTTGTCTATAAAAACGCCTCTATTTTCAAGGTTAAAAACATGAATACAAGTATGAAAAACGCTTTAAGACTGTACCACTCCATGTAGTAAGGCAACTTGGGTAGTCGTACATTCCTCTCAAACTACATGTTGATGATGACTGGCTAGTCTAAACGTTTCAAGATATCAGACTTGTAATGTTTGACAAGGGCTTATACTGATTTCAGCTCTTAAATACAGTTAAGCATTCTAGAAGTTTGTATAAGTAGGGGAAAATTCGCCTTCATTAACCGATCAGTTTTAAGTAGATAACATTAATATTGTGGTTAGCTAGATACAGACCGTAATTATCGTAAGTTATAACTATAAAACTACAACTTTGAGTGTTAAATCTTATCAGGCTGTCGTGGGTATTTTCTATGATTTCCAAACATTACGTTAGAATATGTTTGTCTTCCTAGAGCTATTAATATTGTTACTCTACTCTGCTTTTAACAGTCTTACTGATCTCTCTGTTTTACATTCTTGTATGATTTGTGATAACTGAAGTCTATGAACATTCATGAAGGAACCTAAACTGCCTATGACTAACTGACTGGCCAGTGCTGTAGTTATTATTGTAGCGTACCTGATGTTAGTGCCATATGTCAGTCATTTACTTTTAATTGCTAAAGATGTGTGTAACTTAAACAATTGCAAGATAATTAAGTCTTCCTTTGGTTGTTAACTGTATGCAGAAAACTTTCAGGGTTTTATGTTAGGATCGAGTAGTCTCATAACTTTAGCGAGCTTTTAACCACTTGTCGGCGTTCATGTACATGTGTATATACGTATATTTATTTATCAACAAATAGGAAACACTAATTAGGTAGAAATTCCTTCATCGTCTTTGTGCCTCAGTCTATAGGATGATGAATTTTCGCCCATCTTAATATGAGTTTACCTCAATTATTGGACACCTACGAAGGTGAAATGTTTTTGATTTTCTTGATCTTAGATTTAAACAATGTCTCAATTAATAGAACTCATTCTTCAGGGTGACGGTGATAGAATCCAGAAGTTTTTGAAAGAATATGATAAAGACCCAGAAGGTTATCTACGATCTATGAATGAATATGACGAAATGCACAATTCTGCTATTGAATTATTTACAATATTAGATTCCAGGAATTTTATTGAAAAGGCAATAAGCAATGGTTATAACGAGCTAAATAAAACCGGAAAAAATGGTAAGTTTTGAACTATTGTTTCAAAAAAATAATTTCCTCTCTTCTACACAAAAGGATGCAATTTAGTACATTATGCTGCTATGTGGAATCATGCTGATTTAATAAAATATTTATATTTTGCTGGTGTCGACGTCTATAGAAAAAATATTCACGGCGAAACCGCACATAAACTAGCTGTTAAATATAAACAAGAAGAAGCAATGCATATTTTAGAATGGATAGGTACCTAATGAAAATATTATTCATATGTAGATAATTTGTTTATTTAATATTATTTAGAATGTCGTGATGAATTTATTATGCTGATCCGATTAGTCAGGGAAATTTTAACAACTTCTGATAAGAATGACTATACAAAAGAAGAAAGGGTAGGTCGATATTCTATTTTTTAAATGTTGCAATTTAACATCATCCATGCTAGAATTTTTATTCTACCATTTTTATAGATTTTAATAAAAAAGTCACTGGTTTAAAACAATATTAACTTCCATGTAGACGCTATAATTAATAAGTAAATTTGTTAGTTTTGAACAGCAAGGAATCCATCCGGTCTAGACACTTATTGTCAAAAGAGAAAAGATTTCATGAGGATTTGGGACATCCAGAGTATCTTATATGAGGTTCTGTAAACGTTATTACTAACTGTTTGAACTCTAAACAATGGAGAAACGTCTACACAAAAAACCGTGGTGGAAAATAAAATTTTCAAACATCTTGAATCCATGAAGTTTTACAAAATCCTGTTGACAAGCTACTAATCGAACCCTAAGCGCCTACAATATATATGTGTGATCTACTATTCTGTTAATAAAAAAAACTACTACACATTATAAATCATGTATACAGGAGGTAAATACAAAACAAGTGTTATACGTAGGTATTAGATTTGGGCCTTGGAGTGAACAATAACTTTAAAATGCAGGTACATACAGCTGAGAAGTCCCAGATATAAGAAATTAAGTGTTCTAGACTTGACTAATAACCACTTACCATCCATTGGCTACCTTAAAACTGTTGCTAGATCCCTTAATTGAGAGATTTTATAGCATAACATTCATTTGATATCACCGTTGAGTTCATGTTTTGGAAACAATGTTCAGGTTGTTCAAACAGATGACGTATTACATTTACTGTCGTGATTAAATAAAATTATCTTAGTTATAGAAAATGTTTATGGGAGGGAAAGGAAGTAAAAAACAAACTTCTATCCCAGTCATATCCTAGTAAGCTATTAAAATTACTGACTTACACCATTTGGAGGGTCATTAATACCAAAAAGCTCTTGAACAGCCGTTTTGTTCCAGTTTTGACCTTCCCAACAGTCCGTATACACTACCTTATGTTGGGTAGAATTAGATGCTATCTCTTCACTGTTCTGGCTTCGACTATATACGAGATAATGTGGCCACTTACTTCTGAATAGTTCGAAACCAATACGGTACTGTTACCTAGCCTTCTATGGTTCTAGTGGTTTTCCAAATTATGTTGATTCTTGATAGGAATTACTTTTAATTTATACAAATCCCCCCTGTAAACCACTTATTTTTTAAAACTAATAATGTCTATTTTTAGTCTTGATAAGTTTAACATTTTATGTTTTTAGAAAATTGCAGATTCTGCTTGTCTTGATGGAGAATCCTGGATTAATAAAAATAAAGAAGCTACACTCAGCATGCTTAAAACAAAAAAAGAACAAATTGAATTGATTGTAGAACCATTCTTACGGAAGAAATCATTAGTCATGTAGTGTGATGAAATAATATCGTGTCATATTGTATGGTGAAAACCCAAATAACATTATTTTGCATTTACTTTTCCAATACTGAGTATGCAACAAAATTTTAATTTGATAAGTGTATACAGATCTGTTTTTAAAAATAGTTTGTTATGTATGTATTGTGAAATCAGTCTCTCAGGACAGTTATGATGTTATTGAATACTGTTCAGTGATGGCTTGATTCACAAGACTTTGAGTTGTACTAGGAAAGTTTTTCTAGTTAGCTGTTAAGTAAATGAGCTCAGTACTTTCAAATTTCTACCTTAAGATAATTATGATATAGTTATATAATGAAATATAGTTTCTAACTAAAAGTGTACGATGAAGTTAAATATTTGGGTAAGACGTTTAGGCTTATAGATTATTTACAGAGTATATTTTCAGGTATTTGAAATTGGATCCCCACAGTGTTTATGATAGAGTTAGTAACATGACTATATTAATCAAACAGAGGTTAGAGGAGTGATGTTCAGCTCCATATCTAACTCTTTGAAAGTCAACAGTTTGCAACACTAAACAATAGGATTGTTGTATCCGGACAAATCAGTGTTCTAGAACCTCTCACGACAACATTATACGATGTTCGCTTGCAAAAGTTGTAGATTTGATTCTGATATGTTATTAAAAACATTCATGTCATTACCAAAGTGATCTTATAATAGCCGTTTGCTTAAATTATCTAATTTACCATACGGTCTCACCATTAAAATATTCGATTAGTATAAATGTTATATTGCCTAATGAACAAAATCGCTAGCTAAAAATTGTGGAATATCTGACATAATGACTGTAGTTTAAGAGCCAACACTTCATAATGGTTAATTATGACAAGTTGGGTGGTGGCTTTTTCAGCTGCAAAATATACAGAGGTAAGGATAGAATAAGTATTAATATTCTCTCATTTCAAATAATCTAATATCAGTGCCTTATCGTTAAAATTCTTCATAAGAAACCCTAAAATAACCAGGCTAAATTAAGACGACGTGACGCATAAATACTGTGTGTGGCCAGGACGAATTGTAAATTAATTGATTCTGCATATTTAAAGTGCATGAATATACGTTCTTATCGAAGTAATTCATAAGGCACAGTAAGTTAACATGTCAATGTGAAGAGCAAAGTTTTGCCAAGACTAGTGTAGCAAACGGGGATACGAGTGGGGATAATCGAATGCATTTGAGCACAAAATAACAAAACATCTTAGTAAAATCTGAGAACCATACAGCGAATACTTAATTTGCAAAATATCAATCAATCGTCTAAGACTTCATTGTTCTTTCGTTTCCATGCCAATCATTCTCTGTTCATGTTCTTTTTTCTTTGATCTTCTTAACCTTCCGCCACCAGACATTTCATTTTCAATTGATGATACATACCACTTATATCTGTCGAGATCAGTAGCACACACCACACTAGCATGTTCATAAATAGAGCCATTAGATGTCACATAATTGTGAACATTTAAGCATACAATTATAAATAATCGTCCTCATGGAGTCTCGCACTTACAATATAATAATGAGCGGAAGAAATTCAGCGACCAGGAAAATGCAAGGTAAAGGGGGATATACATGGTATTTCTGCGTAACAAAACTCGACAGATTTGGTCGAGTCAAACTTTCTCATCTAATATTTACCTTCAGTCGACCAATCAGGAAAATCTATGGTATATTAAAGCGACATTAATAAGAAAATTGACCAGAGTTAAATATAGATCACCCATCCACTTTTTGAGGAAGATAATTAGATGTTCTTTCGTTTTTCTATCCATCTTGAAATAAAAAAAGCTAACCATAAGTTCATTGCATCGTGGAAGTGTCAAGTTTAAATAATATATACACCAGTAAACAGAATTATGAATAGTAATTAATTACGTAATTTTAAGCTGCAACAACAAATAAAGTAGAGGTTTAACTTTTCAAACTTTTAATTGTTCTCTGAAAACACGATTTAAGAGACTAGAGTCATGGTTTCTTTCGTCTCTTTATTGAAATCCTATAGTCATTATGATTTTGTTTGAAATATGCAATATCGCTTAGTGATAATAAAATGTATTCTGTTCACAATTAGTTGGTCATCAATTGTCGACCAGTGGCATGTTCACCCAGTAAAGTATGATGAGCCGAGATTGAATCCTCCAGGAACCATCAGATCAGATTAGTATAAAACCTAGATCCAAGGGTTCCTGTCGACTGTTGACAATCACCCCTTTTTTTATTAAAAATTTTGATAGTGCATATATTTATCATGAATTAATTTAAACTTTTAAATGATTTGTTATGTCACTATACATAAATGGGTAATAGCTATGAATATTTATTAAATAATGAATAAAATAATGCAAGAACCACAGCATTGGCTAGTAGTTTACGGATTCACTTATCGTTTGCACACTGATATCATGAAGTAAATCACTTTAGAATATGTTATCATTGTTATATTTTAACATTTTAGACTACCTTCAGGTAATTATTCATGAACCTAATAACTATTTGGACGAGGCTATAATTTATGGACGAACCAATTACAGATAAGATAACGAGTCACAAATTTCGGCACGAAATTCACCCGTATATTTGGCTAAATAGAGTTTTGACACTATAGCTGATATCAGTTCGTGATGAAAACCCTAAGTCTTGTTTTTAACCCTAACCATCAACTATAAATGAGAATTCTAACTACTTTATAACTCTCATTTAGACCTAATCAGTAGGCGTCCACTCTCAAGGTCACTTCAGTGTCGTTCAAAGGTCGTCCATCAATTATAGTCTCACCACTATTTGTATTCTTTTTGAATCATTTAAGTTGAATTTTCAATACTATTAAAAAACAAAATCAGTAGTATTAAAAGAAAATAGTTATTTTTTGCTAAAAATTATTTTTCTGTGAAATATTGTAGTCTCACAATTAACAAATGAACACACAACTAATAATTATAGTAATATTGTAAACTGAAGTGAAGTATTACAACTTACAATTGAATATTCTCTTAAATAATCAATTGATATCAACATTTTGTTTATCAGTCATGAAAATTGACCGAAATGATATATAAGAAGAAGTTGATCATTTGAATCATTGAAAAAAAGAGACATTTTATCATATAACTAAATTGAAATGAAATACAATCATAGAAACGTTAAACTTTACATCGTTATAAAAGTAGTATGAATATTAAATTTTACAAAAAAAAGAAAAAACAAACGAAAAAGAAAAAAACCGAAGAAAGAATTCACAAATATGTATGTGTTCTAGTTTTGTGATGATAAACCTCTTTGTGAGGTGGAGGGCGGAACGTTGTGTTTTTCCCATGTGTAATCATTTGAGGAATGTTATTTCGGAAGTAATTACTATTTGAAATAAAATAAATCATGAATGTCGAAGTTTTTTCCAATTGTAAAAGATTATTGAAAATAATGGCTATACAGTTTAACATTCAACTTAGAAACCGGAAATATTAGTTAGGAGAGTAAATGAGTATGAAAGAACAATTTAGAAAAAAAAACAGAAAAAAAAGAAGTGGATTTAACCAGAGAGATTGAGGGAGAAAAAAGGCAAAAGAAGTTAAACAAAACAGTCAGATAAATGGGTTGACCTGATTTCAGTGTTATCTACATTCGGAATAGCAGAGAAATCATTAGTAATGTGTTGATTTTGTTGTTGTTGTTGACGGTTGAACTGATTTGAATATAATAATCTTGACGTCTCGAGATTTTCATTATCTGCTAAACTGCCTAGTTGTTCGCTATATTGATTTAAATTAGAGATAAGATGATTATTATCAGTATTATTCATCAGTTCAATCTTGTGCATGTTTAATTTGGATTTTGATAAGCATGAATGGAAGTTATTTATATTGTGCTCCTCTTGAGAAGGTGCTAAATTAGAATCAGGACTTGAATGATCATTTTGTATGTTGATATTACCTAATAAAAGCTGTAAATTAAAAAAAACATTGGTTATTTGTAACAAATTACATTGTAACTTTGAATAAAAAGTATTACTGCCTATATGAAATTGGGCCGAAATGGCTACATCGAGGAGATTCGAACAGGATACAGATAAACCAACCAAGAGATGTCAGTTAGAATATGAACAATAAGACAAATCGATTTGGTGGCTAAATGGATTGTGAGATGGCATCTTGAGGGAGCACCCCGGAGTGAACCTCAAGTCGGATGCAAGTAAATCCAATAGGAGAGTCTCACACAGGGTAAGACGAGGGTCTTGGACTTCACTGTCAGTTACATTCCATCTAATTTACATTTGAAAGTAATTTTCACTATTGAATTTTCAAAACCAGAGAACCGTCGGAATCCAAGTAGCATTTAATGAATACTTAATTCTAGTTTTTAAGATTTTTAACAATTATCTTCTACAGGATCAAACTTCAGATTTCTTGGTGTAGACTTCATTTATAGACTAGTAAGCTAAAATATGATAGTTTACACATGTGACTAGCTAATTCTTCATGTAGTATAATTGTGAGTTCATGCTTTCGAGGAGTTATAAGCTTGGATTAAACAGATTTTTAATCCTACTTGGTTTACGAGGGTCCTTAATGGCACGCCATTCGGTGATAAAAACTACTCCCAGAATTTAAAAGAACTTCAAATGTTCAATTTGATAAGTCTACGATTTTCGATGCATATTGAAACTGAATCTTAACACATACGGTTTGAGACAACCTCATAATCCTTACGATATTTAATAATTAGTTAACATATACAAGCTACTACACTTCAAATCGCGAAACAAAGTAAATTGGTTTTAATCAGTTTATATTGAAAGAGTGTAGGTAATCATTTTAATCACAGATAAAGACTCTAATAGATCGCTCTAACTACTAGAAGAGTGTTGGATTTTTTCACTATGTATATATAATCTGATGAAAGAAAACGTATGTGACTGAAATAGTGACTTTATTCTAATTTACTAATTTTAGTTTCAAGTGTTAATCTCATCATCGTAATCAAAAGTAACGTAGAACCTGACGCATTTGTGCATCAGCCCAATTTGTCATAGCATATCAGTATAGCGAGATGAAATTATTCCAAAACAAACTCCAGAGTAGTAGAAGTAGTAATAGTGTTAGTAATCGTAAAAAAATGAATATAAAAAAAAGAGAAAAAAAGGAAATCTAGGAATTCAGGTTCTAAAAGAAGGAGTAAATACACGTCTTCCATTGAGGATTCAGAGATATATCACACAGTTTCTGACCACTAGTTACGAATATCACGTCTACACAAACCAAGTAGTCTACACCTATCTACACCTCTTACATCAGCAATAACTGGTTTCACTGATTGGCGACGCGTCTTGGTTTTGCTACTCGAAGCCATCTTCCACCCTACTTCTACACCAGACAACATCACCCGTTGCGGTAGGTGGTTGTTGGACATACGTAATACATGTCCCAATTCTATCGTTTAACAAGACTTTACAAACTCATCAATCGGCTTTTTTCCTTTTTACTCTATTCCTAACCTTGGGATTGATTGCTCAGTGGTCTCAAAACACACAAGCGTTGCTTCGAAGACACTTGTGGTTCAATACCAGTAACCAACGAATATCCTCTATTCTTAATGTGTACGATTCATATATATGAAGTAGAACGATAGTCTCATTCTCTTATTGACAGACAGACACCTCGCCTGTATCATAAAAGACGTGAGTTGGCAAAAGCCAAATGAGCTTTCTGAATCTGTGCTGAGATTTCACTGAACACCAGCCTATCAAGACCGATGAGACTTCCAAGGTAAATGAAGTGGTCGATAATTTCAACCACCTTACTTAATTCAAGTGCTAACTTAGTTAAGTAGATTACAACTAGAAATAAAGGATTATGAAGAATAATAAACAAACCTGAGCAGTCGGCCCACCACTGTATTGAATACGTCTAAGTTGATCCGCATAACGACTACGATCGGAATCTTTGTCCTCTTCAGAAAAATTATCTAGAATATTGGATTGATAAGTCGTTAAAACAAACGTAATTTAGATCGTCACTAAAATAGTCTTTTAAATTTAATGTATTAAACTTATCACATCACTGGATACTTTCAGTATATACGTGAACAAACTAGTAGGCTGATTAATTGTACAGTAACAATTGAAAAACATTTTTCTAAACCTTCAGTATATTTCAGTGTTCTAGTTTCACTTTTAGTGAATTAAAATGTTATTGGCACCTTGTTTTTAAAACCAACATTGAAGATTTGGAGACACTTAACGGACGTTTCGTCCTAGTATTTTAGACTGAAAAAATTATTTCAAGATAGGATAAAATTTAGACTGTTCTACTCTCCAGCTTCTCGTATGTGAATAACAAAGGCTATTATCTAAAGTATTTCCAAAGTTTGTGTTGGTTTTAAAAGTGTGACCCATATTTTTTCAGATATGAGAGCCTGATAATATATATATATATATATATATATATATATATATATATATGCATAGACAGAGGTCACGACAACGTTATTTCATGTAATTAAGGTGTATCGTTCTTAGCTCGTTCAGAATACTTCTCATTCATTGAAATGCACTTGTCTCATGTTTCGTTGTTTTGTCCAACAATATCTACTAAAATCCTCTGAAGTTAGGCTCTTCAAATGTTTCTTTTCCTGACGCTTAACGTATATCGTCTTCTTAAGTTGAATTGTTTTACTAGTTTAGTTCAGCAGCAATATTTTAGAAGGGTAATCAGCGAAAATCAACAGAGACCATACATCTGAAGTCTCTGTCAACACTAATAGTTAACAGTCCTTTCAGGTTTCTAGCGTTTTTGTAGTCTTCAAAGCTCACATTGAAACATTTGATCTACTTTAAGAGAGAGATTTTCTTTCATGTTCTATCTCCATGAACAACATCAAAAGTTCTATGAGTTATTCGGAAGTTTTTGCTAAATTTCAGGGTAAACCTAAATGAATTATTTGACGTATTTATTATACAGGCTATGCAACTTACAATCCTGGAGGTTTAATGTAAGATTAATTAAGGTCAAAATTTATTCTCAGAAAGTTAAAGAGTATATTCAAGCCGATTTACAAGACCGACTGGCTAAAATTAATCTACTTAAATTTCTAACTTATGTCTACAAATATAAATGATAGACTTACCAATGACAGAATTCTGAGTGTTGAGTGTATGAAATGACTGCTTACTATTATGTAAACTTGATTTTGATTTTAAACAAGTAGAACAAGAATATGGTAATCGTTTGTGACATTGAATTTGATGGGGTTTGTGCATAGAATATTGTTGTTCACAATTACATTGGTTTTGAAGAGTAAATAAGTCACTAGATATTGCATGAGAAAGATTGTTTACACTTTGTCGATTTTCAAAATGAGGTATATTTTTTCTAGATGTATTCGATTGAATAACTTCTCTTGATGAACAAAAATAACGTGTACTTCCAAAATTAGGTTTTGTCTTGAAGTCATACAATGGAATATAGGGAATTATTGAAGAGACAGAATACCAATATAAACAATTCTTAATATAGCTAACTTACATAACACCGTAATTATGCATGCATACAACGTTCAAATCATTTAGGAAATATTTACTATCTAGGGAAAGAATAGAAAGCATATTAAATATGTTGCACCGGGACGTAGCTTGGAACTAGAACCTGGTCTGTGTGTACAGGGGTTGGTGAATGTATCATTAAAGGAGTAACAGACATTTCACCATTTACCTCATATAATTTGCTATTATCTTGGGTACAGTTCATCAAAGAATTTGACATCAACAGGGAATCCGATGCACTGGGATCAAGGGATAAAAATATAGGTGTACACGATGGACCCATATTGTAGTTAAACGGTGCACTGTATGAAAATGTTGCTAAATCTGACCCTAATTCCATTGATTGCGGATTAAAATGATCTGGAAAAGAGGTTACATTTATAGAGACTATTGGTGAACTTTCACTAGGTATGTTATTTGTATTAAAAAATCCATTGGTCAAATTGTTTCTTTCATTGATATTATTAAATTCAGATTTTCGTTTAATCTGTGAAAATGCAGCTAATCCAGTAGATAATATTTCTGTGGAACTATTAGCTGTTTGATTAGAAACAACATTTTGAACTGATGAATCTATTGAATTATTAACTATAGTTAAACCTATACTATTACTATCTACAGTGATTGAATTATTCACTGAAGCTGTAGAAGAAATTATAGTTTGCAATAGTGTACAATCTTTTATTTTATTATCAATAATAAACTGGTCATTTGTTATTTTTCTATAAGAATTAAGATTTTGAAGTGTCTAAATTTATTTAAATAGAATTAATAATTCACAACAATAAATGAAAAGATATTACAACATCAAGAGACAACAAATAAGAGAAAAGAAAGAAAAAAAAGAGGCATAATTGAATATGTAGTACAAATTAGTAAAATATTTTAAATCATTATTAAATTATTCATATACAATTTATCAATATTGATGTGTATTGGAAACTGTGTACTTTTTTCCTTGGTTATGTTATAGTAACTATCCTATAATCAATTTTGATTATGGTTCATTTTGGTTAAATCGTTTTATGAACTTATTTAACAGATAATGTTATTAGAACAGTAACAATTCACATATTTCACAAGTTGAAATCATGAGTCAATTGAACCTAGACCACCATGGAAAACCTGGAAGCACTGGATGGCCGTTTCGTTCTAGCATGGGACTCAGCAGTGCGCATCCACGACCCCGCACCTCGCGGGATTCGAACCCAGGACCTACTGGTTTCGCGCGCGAGCACTTAACCATTAGATCACTGAGCCGGCATCCAACGGTGTTAATTCACATATTTCTTTGTACTGTTATGATCACTGTAATACATGACAGATTCTAGTGAAAATGTTGATTGCTTAAATATTACTCGATGATTCATTCTCCTTCGCATGTATATATGTACTCTAATCTTAGTATTAGCTTTTGCTTTGTCTTGCTTCGCCCAAATGCAATTGGAATATAAATTTACCTATGTAATTGCTTGCACATACTTATTTACCTTTGATATGATGGAAACAAAAGTCAATTTTCGATTGATTCACTCATTAGGAGTTATGGTTCAAGATTACTTCCGTTTTGACTCACTGTAATGATTACTCAATGTAGTATTTGTTTCTTTTCTCGTATGATATTTTGTTCTGTATAATACACGATATTCTTGCATCCCATTGATATGAACTATGCTCAGTATGTGTTTTGTTATATATGTGAATTCATCCTAATTATTAATCAAAAAGGGGTATACAACCAATACATAAATGAGTGTATTTTTTACTAGAATTGCCGTTGTGTTTTGGGGTTAATAAATCATTACTTATACCAGTCTTTGTGTTCATACTTTCGCGTCGTGGGAATGGCGGAGGTCCCTCGTTCCGACTATAAGTGATAAGCGTTTCAGACATAACAATCAGCGACGACCAGATACATAAAGTAGCATTAAAAGAGCCAAGACAATAAGCATTCAAACGACAAATTATAACAGCCTCTCTGCTTCAAATACACTCGATGTGCTTATAGGTTTATGATCTTTGCTATCCGCTAATAATCTATAGTTGCCACTTTTCATTACCTTCTGATTTCAAACACCGTTGAAATTTATGTAATAACGGTTACAAGAGTGATTGATTAGCGAAGTAAAGCCATTACAATGTTTATGTTAACTAGTGTGCAGGTTCATCAGTGAATATGCTTTTTCAGTAATCACTTAATATTCAAAACTAGTTTACTATTTTTTCTTATCAGTACACTCTGTTATATCTAGTAGTTCTGATTATATTATGATCAAAGTTTTTCACATTAGAAAATTGTGATCAGTTTCGGTAAGTGCTTTTAGTTCAGTTTATTTATGTTAATGATATCAGTTAATTAAGTTATTGAGAGTTAGTCTGAACAATGTTGGTAAGTTTTGAATACCATGTTGGGCGAATGCGCTTATCGTAACTAGTAGTTGGAGACGTTGGATGACGTGTTGTGGAATTGCTCATTATGGTCCGGGTGGATTCACTATTTTTCACTGTTTTTATACCTTGTTCTTCCACAAATTGTATTGATTGAACCTACTCTTTTGTACTACAACTGTTACTATTCCTGTGGTGGGAACTACTCACAAGAATGTAAATGCATAGTAACTTCTCGCAATAAATACACATGTCTCTCTTCTATTGTAGTGTTTTACATTTTTACTTTTACTATCCTGGTATTTATTTTAATAGTTATATATCACTGAGTTAATTTACTGCATCAACTTAAACCGAAGCCAGTATGTACTGGGTTCTTTGTAGGTTATAACTGATCAACTGATTATTTAACTGAGTTCAGTGACTTACTAGCTTGTTGTAGTCAAGTGATTATATACAAATATATCTTCCATAACAATAACACCGAGAATTTCCCTACAGGTATTAGGACTTTAAAATAAAGAAATTTGATAAAAAGAGTCCAAGTAATCTAAGAGTACAAGTTGAACACAGCTGAGTGATCTGTTAAAACCTCAATGTATCACTGATATTACCGTAAACAAGTGGTATGTTTTCTGCTACTTACTGCTGGGGACAGTTAACATTTAAATGGTTCATCTTAGGTTCTGTACAGGAAAACGTTATATTGATTTAAATGTATTATGTTAGATATTTATTAATAAATGTTGGTTCAATAAAAAATTAGCTTACACCATAGTAACGAGACTGATTTGGTTGCCTTGGAGTGTGTTGACCATGACGAGTAGAATGTTTTATGCTTCCATGTTCATGTCTTAATTGATTAACTGGATTTGCTGATGAATAAACTATTCCGAGTTCAGTAGAACCATGACGAGTCATTGGATAATTCAGCGTATTATTGTAATATGGATTTGGAGATGCTAAATGGCGAACCGGATAACTTGTTGTCATTTGATTAGAAGTTAAGTGATTAAAATCTGGATTACTGCTTGTGATGTTATGATTCATCAAATTTCCTTGTTGATCAACATCTGTAGGTATATACTGAGAACATTGAGATGGACAAATATCATGAGGTGCATAACCATGTGTACGGGAAAAATTACCATAAGAGTCTGCTTTTACATAACCTAACAAACAAATAATAATATTGAACAGTGAATGGATGGTAATTAAGCTAGGTTAGGTATTAAATAATGTCATTAAATTATAAACAGTTGCATATAATACTTCTAAAGCAACAAATATATTTGCAAATCATTCTGAAGGCTTAGAATATTAATAGATAATAAAAAACAGTAAAACTCACATGATTATGGGTTTTATAGTCTTAAAATATTTAGTATTTAGTGACTTCAGTAAGAATAAATTTAACGCTGTTGGGGCAAATTTCTTCGTAAATGGAGTAAGTCACTGGATGAGATTGTTTGACCTATGTGTTATGCCTAATGATCGACCAATAGTTCAGTGTACCGTACTTACTGAAGTTTTTTTAACGTTGAGAGAAAATTGAGAATAGTCAGACCAAAACAAACAACTGCTTCACAAAGTTACTAATTATTAACTTGATACTTAAAAGAATTCCTAATGCTTTTGTCTGGCATTATTGAAATTATCGGAATGGGGATTTGTGGAAATTATAGTAACCTTGATAGTTGAATTCATGAGTTAATCTACGCTAGACCATCATTGAAGAGACGGAAGATCTGAACAACCGTTTTGTCCTAGTATGGAAAACCTCAGTAGTGCGGGACCTTGGATGCACAGTTCTAAGGAGTCCCATACTAGGACAAAACGGCTGTCCAGAACTTCCACCTTTTCAGTGGTGATCTAGCTTAGACCGACTCATGAGTTCAACTGTTAAAATTATTGAAATTATAAAGAGCACTTGTCAGCCGTTAAAAACTTAGTATTGAGAGTTTCAGATTATCAGATTATCAAACTTCATTCACGAGAACCTGTATAGACACCCTGAGAGTAACAACTATTTTTTGCACTTGGTTTTTCATTCATATTCTGGCATTAAAAAACCTGACAGTTAAGTTATAATTATTAAATATTAAATATGCTACTTATCAATATTAAGTAGTATGAAATGAAAATGAACTAGTTTTTCCATGCAATTGGTTCCCTTTATGAATTTAAATAGACTAGTTTTTGACTTTCAATAGTCCTCATAGGTACATTCTTTAAGTTGTAAACAGTTACAAACTAACAGCTATGAATGGAATAACATATTTATGATTATATATACTTATTTTAAACCTAAAAAGCTAGAATAAATAGTTCACAGTGAAGAAACTGTGGCTGCTAGAGTCAGAAAAGCTGAAAACAAGGTAGTTATGAGGTATACATTCAGTAGTGAAGTGAATGAAGTTATAAAATCTGAAAAACCAGATACTGACAGTCTTATGTGTTTGTAGTAAAACATCCATCCAGTGTCCCCCTATTTTCGATGGTTTAGAAACTCGTAGCTAATACTCTCTTTCCATGGAAGAAATCTGTAGAAACAACTATACCAATTATTTGCTGAATTCTAAAAGATTAGAAGATGAATTCCCATTGTTTTCATCCCTGCTTATAGCTACTTCTCTAGAGAACAGATGAACCGAAAAGTTTAGTATATGTAGGCTAAGTAGCTTATCGAATTATATTATCAGTGAATAAATATATATAGGACAAAACATAGTCTATAATGTATATTATTCATCTTCTAAAGTGATCCTCTTTATTATTATTCCTAAAACCATGAAACAACAATCTTTCACTGGGTAGAAAGTAAGGGGCTATCACTATAGTTAGCACATCTTCCAAATTAAAAGTGGATTCGGATGTGGACAAAAATTTGAGTAGAATCAACAACTGATTGGTACTGTTTTATTGAAAGTAATTTGTAAAATCTACTTAAATTTTCTCATCTATTTTTCCACAGCTAAACTAAGTGTCATTTAGTAAGAAATCATTCATATTTCGTTTATTTCATGTGTAATCAATATATCAGTGAGTGACGATGAACTCTGTATTGAAATAATCAGATACTGCATATTTGTAGCCATATAGTTATATCTAAGAGTGAACCTTATTGTATTATATATGATTCATAAGTTTAGTACGGTTAGAACATTCATTTTGTATGATGGTCATTTTTTAAAAATTAACTACCAATAAATTACAGAGTTAAGTTTATTCCAACAGTGGATTTGTACGTGACTATTTATTTATCTAATTAGCTTTTTTTATTTTATTGAGATTCATTATCCTAGTGTGAATGATATTACATTGATGTGACAAGTCAGCTTTCTTGAATAGTGTGTGAATGTTTATAACATAAATTAGTGATTAGTGAAATAATAGATTGTATTTTATAGAATAGTTTAGTGTTTAATTATAATGATGAATAGTTTAGATTACAAATTTCTCTTGAGAAGCTATTCAATTTTCTATAAATGACAATAAATTAATGTAGCCATCGACACCATCAATCATCTTAATGGAATAATCGTTTCATCAAAATAATTGATGTGTCATACGTAGGTAATATCAACTAAATTGTAACATATATATGGCTTTTTATTTTCTATTCTGATTATCAGTTAATTTATATAAAGATAGAAAGTCAATAAAATTACGTTACCTGAACTTATGAGTTTTTTTTTGTTAGGTGGACAGCATATACATGTTGTACTGATATCTGTATCTACAAAATTATCATTTTGATCAATAAAAGATGATTGAAGATGTGCTTTCATATCAGTACCAGATTGATCATGACGTGTTAATGCAACTCCATTTGTCATAGTAACTCCTTGATCAGATTTATATTGTCGTCTTCTCATCATATTACGATGACGACGTCGTTTAATTAAGAAAATAATAACTATGACATTAATAAGAAGAATAACAAATCCAAAAACACATGCAGATACTATGATTAATAAAGCATTGTCATCTGAATAACCAGAATTTGATAAGGGTGGCATAAGTTCACGTCCATTGTATGAATCTACTATATAATAAAGGTTAATAAAAATAAATTATTCTAAGAATTACGGTATAGAAAATAGAATAATATAATTCCCTTTTAAATAGGCATACTCTTTTTCTTTGAAAGTATCTATTCAACTGCATAGTCTAAATGGATGATCTAAATTCGTTGAATTATGTTCTTTTTCTATTAAAAATTGTAATTATAAAACCTATATAGAAGTAATTTCTGACACTTGTTAGTGTGAATACATGTCATTTATTGTAAACAGACTAAGCGTTCAAAGTCATCTACAAGACGGCGAGAACACATAGCAACACACTTTCAGCGCGGAAAGATGAAGAAAAAGATTTAATTTCTATCTTTCAAAAGGATGGCTACTCAACCAACTTCATTAAAAATATCAACGAAACGCATCAGCAGAAACAAAACGGAGTACAGAAACGAATAAACGGGTCGTCCTACCATATATTAAAAGGCATTTAAAGTTATGAGATTATTGAAGTCGTTTGGATTAGGTGTGGCACAAAAACCATCAAAATCACTTCAATCAATCCTATTCAAACCAAAAGACGAAATGACAAAAGAAGAAAAAGCGAACATCATCTACAAAATAAATTGTCTCAAATGTGAAAAACACTACATCGGACAAAGTGGACGCCACCTTCATCTTTGCCTACATGAATATCAATTAGTGGTCAAACACAATGACATATTCTCGCTTATGTACATGCATGTGGACAACTGTGGACATATATTCGACTGAAAAAATGTTGAGATCTTGGATAGAAAGAATTCTAAAAACAGCAGAGAATTTTAAGAAGCTTGGCACTCAGATCAATCAGCAATCATTAAACACATTGAAGCAGATCAAATTTATCAACCAATCAGAAAAAATCATGGACAAATATAGGATCAAGAATCAAACCAATGGAAGATACTTTCAGAATAAAGAAGTAAATAATAACAGGCTAAAGGTCAACAATACTCAGTGAAGATCGTGGTCTACAGGACAAACTGTGAGTCAAATGTGGAAAAATTTAAACACTTTCTTTCTAGCTTAAGTTTGTGCTAATGATGTTGTTCAGAAAAACAATGAAAGCTCCGCGACCAAACCATCCAGCTGAGAGAAAAAATCCCATTAAAATAATTTTACATGAACTACAAATTTTTCCCACCATCTCACAGTTTTATTCATGGAACTAATCACTGATGAAAAACTTACTTGGTAGTGTTCTTAAATGAATAGGGTCTGTGTAGGCACTAGATCCATGTTTTGAATTCATAGAATTCACACTGACTATGTATTCACTTCCAGGTTTTAAACCTATAAAGAAAAAAATATGGTATAGATGTAAGAATACTACTGGAACTAATACACGTGATTAACATAATAAAACATGTAGTATAAGTACATTAGAACCAAGAGAAGAGAATAGATTGTTCGTTTATTCACAGCAACAATATTCCATTCTTAATAGGTCCCAGTTGAAAGTTGCTCATTAACATCAACCTTAACGATCTTAATAATAATAATAATAGTGATCAATCCACCGGTGATTAAAACTAGTTTGTATGAAATAGAACAGTTAAACAACAAATTATTATTCAGTTCTACACACGAAAATATGTATGCAAATAAAATGCATTAGAATGATAACAATATTTTCAATGGTATAAATTGATTAGATATACAACTTAGCTAAGACGAAATATTTAACCAGACTAGAGTTTATTTATGTCTAAACTAAAAGTAACTGAATGATAAGTAAAACTGAAATCATAAGGTACTTGTTGATTGCTCGATTTCGGATTGTAAATACAATAAATTCGTTCGTGCTTGTCTAGTATTTCTTGATTCGATTGCGTTAATTTTGGGATTCCAAGTTCATACGATAATTCAAATACTTTCAAACATTATAATAAGTTAAGTTTGACAAACACAATTGAAGTAAACAAGATCATCTTTTAGTTAATTGGATAATTATTTTATTTTGTTTTTTTAAATTAGTTCAATAAATTTAAATTAATGTTTATATAAAAATAGGTTATTACTATTATTTCAAAGTAGAATGTTCTATGCATAGATGGATAGTGGCTAGCAGTGATATCCATCTTTGCTTAAAAAGCTTATCAGCTCACTGAAGACAATTGTGTACGGTGGCGCAACTTCGTGGATTGGTTGAAGTTAGACATTAACACCGTTGGATACCAGCTCAGTGGTCTAGAGGTTAAGCGCTTGCGTACGAGACTGATAGGTTCTGTGTTCAAATCTCGCGGAGCGCGTGATCGTGGATGTGCACTGTTGAGGAGTCCCATACTACGACGAAACGGCCGTCCAACGCTTCCAGGTTTTCCATGATGGTCTAGCTTTAATTGACTCATGATTTCAACTAGTGAAATTTCTAAAAAGCTTATGACTTAAGGCTATAATCAAGACAGGATGCACATATGCAAACAAGAGACTGATCAATTGCAATCCTAAATAACAATGGGAAGATACAAGTAAAACAACACCAAGTGAATTTAGAGTGTTTTATTTTTTCCAAGGTTAAATGCTTCCTATTTTAAGAACAATAGTTACAAATAACTTGGGTTCTCAAATCTCTTTTAAAATAGATGAACAGTATATTCATGTCATGTGTTGTGTAGCATATTCGTTTATAGACATAATGTGTTAGTGTTTAGTGTTACTTGTTAACTAGCAAAATACAAAAAATGTTCTGATTAAAAACGATTATTTTGTTAAACTGAATTTTTTCGTTGATTTCATTCACATACTACTTTTATATCATCCTTTGGATTCCATACTGTATTCTACCTAGGAACAAAATCTTTTCACAGACTAATGAGGTGTTCAAAAATAGTACATATTATCACAGTTATATGTTGTTACATCACTCTACAAAGTAAAACCTCAACAAAACCAGAGGTTTACCAATTAGAGAATTTGAAATGATGCTATTCTCTTTTTTGAAATATTATATAACCAATAACTTGATTGATCTGTAGAAGTAAACAATTTGAAGTTTCGTTATCCATCTACTTTAAGTTGATATTCAGCTCAGCTCGCATTCTACACAATGCTATGACTTGTGGCCTCGTGACCTATATATATGAGTAATGATACTGCCAATTGGAGAACATTGATTTATTGACCTGACCAATGACACAGAAAACCCGTAAGAGTAGTCTGAAGACTTTATCGGTCCTGATTTCTGCTTAGTCCTGCCTGTTAAGTCCAGAACACCAATCTCAGCATCCGCGATATGTATCATGTATTTCAAACATACTGGGTTTATATACAAACCAAATAAGATAGACAGATTAGGTCAGCGAACAGTTCTCTTTTCGGCGAATTCATTTTCAAAGCTGTACAATCGCAAATATATATATATATATATATATATATATATATATATATATATATATATATACTTATTTTTACAGGGTGATAATAATACTGATAATAAACTTCTGTTATATACGGTGACAGTGAGGTTAAATGAACAAATATCATGCCGATCACATTTCATCTCTGTTTCAACATTTTATTTTATCATGCTGCGCTATCCTTACCCAATGAATACTTCAGCCATTAACTATCAAACGATTATTAAACTTTCCTTGTTTGAAAATTTTTTTAAAAAATACCTTTGTTTATTTAAACTCACTGTCACCATGTATAACAGAAGTTTATTATCAGTATTATTATCACCCTGTAAAAATAAGTATATATATTTGCGATTGTACAGTTTTGAAAATGAACTCGCCGAAAAGAGAACTCTTCGCTGAACTAATCTTTCTTATTTAATGTCTTAATGGGTGTATTCCGTTTATTAACAAACCAAATAGACCACATCTCAGCATAAAATAGAAATCTACATTTATACAAGATCTAGCCGAAAGTGGCTGTGAATGTAGGAGACTGTAGTTAATAGACTGGGTAGAACTCAATAAATGTAAATCGTATAATAATAGTCAAAATGGATCATACCATAACATTTAAGTCAAAAGTGATCATCTCAGCATGATTTAATATGAATAGGCAGTTTACTGTGAAAACAATGTCTTTTCTTTATTTATGTACAAGCTTTTACAACTTGATTAAAATATTCTGATTAGTTGATTAAGACGTAGATACCTACTGAATATTCAAATAGTATAATAATCTAATTAGTAACACTTGAAAATAGCTATAAACAAAATATGCCACAAAATTAATACACCATTTAAGATTAAACATACCGGTAATGAAGTACTCAACTACATTTCTATTATCATTTGATGCTACATCAGCATATTTATACAAACTAATTGAACCAACTTCACGCCAACGAACCTAGCAAATAGTAGAGTTGATTGTGAAAAAATAAATCAGTACATTTAAGGTCACTATAAACTTTAGTGATTTGTTGAAATAGTATGTGTGTTAAATTGAGCTGAATGTTGAAAAATCGCTGTCTGAATATTACTACAAAGGTTATAATTTGACTCTAGGAATAGGTAATACGAGTTTGAGATTTTACGTAGGAATCACTTATCCAATGATAAGCCAATAAGTAAATCAATAATAAAAATTAAACTACTTGACATTAAATTTCTGAAACATGGGTCGTTTATGACCTAAGTTTATTAGGTTTTGTTTGGATTTCGGCCTAGTTGAATACGAGAAGTCAAGATAATCAATTACTAATCTATCACTAAACATATAAATTACTCAAAAACAGTTGTAGTTTCAAATATTCATATTAGACGTGAAAGACTGTTTTAAGTGTCTCAATAATTAATTTACAGTATTTTCTTTATCGAAACTCCTACTAAAATATTACAGAGAAAATGTATGTCAGTTATATGTGTTATACGTATTAATGTTTCTGAAATGTCTGCTCAGTATATTATATGTTCATCTTCCTGCTCAATAACACCAAGGTTGCTTTCATTCTTCTACGATATTGACTTCATCTTCATAAACTGGGTTCACAAGGAGGTTTATAGATGAGATAAGTTGTATGCATGACCTCTTGTTTGATCCCGCTTGATCCTAAAGTAATCCATTATTTAATCATCGAAATCAAATATATATATATGATGACGTTTCGTTATTTTACCAAGTACAGATGAATGATAAGACTTACTTGCCATGATCCTTATGGAAGAGAAAGTCAAAAGATTTGTAGTCAAACTGTGAAGCTGATTTTCCTTCCAATGATAATAATCACTTGCAATAGTGCTGAGAAGTCATACTGAATATCTCTAATTAGCATGTACTTAAAGGCAGTAATTAATTTAATCTCTGGTTATTATCACTACATTGGACAACGTTTCGGAAACACTGCTTTAGGACGCTATCTTAGAGTTCCAAATTTATATAATACTTTATTGAATGCCTTAATTTAAGATTTTCCAAAACCCAAAAGACAAACCTGAAACGTTTGTGCCAATCCACCATCAAAACCTTGAGTCCAGGCAACATGCAAAGTCGATGAGGTTGCATTTAGAAGACGAAAATTTATCGGTACATCTGGAGTGGATGTTCCAGACAAATGAATTCCTAGTTGAGCTTCACCTTGTAAGTTGGCCGCCTAAAAGAGAAAATGTCACTAATAGTTTCTAAGATCATAATTAAATCGAGCTATTGTAATGTATGACAAAAAACTATTCGATTCGAGTCTTGTCCAATGATATATTTTGGGTACAAATTGTGAATTTTGAAAAGGATAATTGACGTTTTAATCAAAAGGCTTTATATTTTCTACCTCATCTAAAAACGCAGTCATACTCCTCATTATTGTAAACAATAAAATACAGTAAAGTACTTTCGTACTATACTGAATCTGAATTATTGCTTTTTAACTGAAAATCAATAAGATGATGCTTTTAGATTTCATAACTGACTGTAAGTATTTGGGCAGGCCAGTTTACTTTTATTGAGATGTTTCTAAAAGTTAGTTTTGGTTGAAAATGGTTTACGACACAGAATGGTATAATTTATTGTCCTACCATACAAGGAAAATATAGATATTCAATGACTTTTGGTTTCTAATGGCTCCTCAAAATGTGACTCTGTGATAAAAAATTTTTTCACAACAATGTACTTCACAGTAATTAAAACAAGCAACGTAGTCCATAATTTTGTAGGTATGAACTTATTTTAGGAAAGAAACCATAGGTATAATTGTGGCAACTGAATGAAGGACATAGATACGTCGGGTTTTACAAATTATAGAAGCTCCAAGTAATTGATATTTTAGGATCATACATACGTATAAAATAGTTTGGGCTTAATAACAATATGATTTCACCGCTTACTGGAGTTCCATTATGCATAAGATAAACACCATTGAATAGTATTTTGTTCAGTAGACAAAGTAACCACAACCCATACTACGAATATTTCTAGTCATATGAGAATATGTCCGCTGTCGTTTACATGTGCTGTCAACATGAATATTTGTGGGTTTTGCAAAATTCATTATTTTGAATAGCATATTTTCCTGTTAACGCAATTTTATTTGCCATCAATTAATTGGTCGAAACCCATTTCTGAACATGTATTATTTTTTAAATCAAATGAGGATAGAAATATCTAAACTTTCGATGTTATTCGTTTTACGATATTACACGGTGATCATACAATGCGATCGGTGATAACAAACTCGTTCCTGATATAGTCGAATGTCACAGATTATACTTTTTCATTAGAATTAGTTTTGAAGAAAGTCATTGACCCCAGATAAATAATAAGCTGTTAGTTGACTGCCTAAAGTTATAAAATATTTTTATTTGATTTTATACGAAATAGTGAGAGTGTAGTGTTAACGACTTTCGGATTAAGATACTGTTCATTGTTTTTTCACTTTACAGTGATTTATTAGTTGGCATCAGTTTAACGAAAAAATCAATTTTAAAGTTTGTAGAAGTTGAGAGATGCAAAATCGTGATAAATGCTACAGTAAATGTATGCAAATAAGTCTAAAATAACACCATTTAAGTTAATTTTGTACATATACACATTTAAAAAAAAGTTATTGCATGAAGCATCTGAGATATCTACTTTCCATCCAAATACACATGATTAGGGTAGATTATTTACTTTAAAAATGTATTTATGTTTGTTCAAAAAATGATTAAACAATTAAACAAACCTGACAACTATAGGAACCAAAGTCATATTTTCTAATATCATTAACAGCTAACTGAGCTTTATATAATCCAGGACGTATATGAGTTAAGAAATTCTCATATTTTTTCATTCCATTTTTACTATCTGAAGTTTTACTTTGAATTAACGCATCCATTGGGATTAATTTATTATCTTTGAGCCAAGCAATTTGTGGAGTTGGTTCTGTACGAATGTAACATGTTAACCATACTTTGGAACTTTGTTCACCAGCTGCTTTTGTATATCGAGGCAATTGAATTATTTTTGGAGGAACTGTAATGTTATGGAATTAAATAATGTGAAATTGAGAAAGAAAACAGATTTATGAAATTTTTCTACCAAAATATAAATATGGCTTAATAAAAGAAATCAAAATTGCAATTCTTGATTTATCATTGAAACATAATGTCGTTTTACATTCACTTGGTGTTGTATAATATATATATGGATTAAAGTGTGCCTTGGTGTTGGTACAACCCACAAATACTAAAGTACCCAAATTTTGATATATTGTCAAATATTTAGAAAAGAGGTTCTTACTGTAAGAACATTTCTTGAACAACTAAAATCTTATAGTTTATTGTAGACCTGAAGTGTGGAGTAGCATAGCCTAATAGCCTTTAATGTAGGGTTGCGGATATTGTTGAGTTTTAATTGAGATCATGACTGGATCAATGTTAGACCACTATTAAAAGGCTAGAAGCACCGGAAGTTCATTTCATCCTAAGATGGGACTCCCAGGTAGTGAGCACTTACGACCCATCACACGGGACTTGAACCTGGGACCTACGGATATCGCGTTAACCCTATATTAATAATTATCATGTACTCATTAGTGACTAGCTTCGAAAAGTAATTCTCAGAGTCCCAGTAAGAAGCCGTGATCATGGTGCTACTTCAGAGCAAGGAGTGCCTTCAATATTGAATGAACCGATATCACCCTTAGGAGTCGAACTTGTACAGATTGTCTCAAAGTATATAACTTCAAACCATGACTCAATATTAGTTACAATGAAAGTCAATCAGCAGAACTTAACCAATATTGAAAAGAATAATCAGTGGTCAGTTTTTGTTAACTCATTACTTTGTTAAATCAGTTTTTGTGAAAATTCATGAGAAACTTACAATGATACAAAAGATTAAATGTCTTCTTCACTGGTTCACCTATTCCATTACTGACCTCGCAAACATATTTACCAACATCATCTTCTGTAAGTTGATAGATGTAAAATGTACTAGAAATTTGAAACTTATCTTGTTGGAAACACTGAGCAAGCATTTTTGGTTTGTCAACCTGAGACTGGAGAAAATCAAATAAATAAAAAGATTATGTTTACTGCTAGACATATACGATTATACTACACAAACAATCGATTAAATGGTTCATGCACCGAATTTAAATGAATTCGTAACTGTTGATGATTTAAACGTAGGGACTTTAAGAAATAATTTTCATTCTGTAATCATGAAAGCATGTTCAATATGTCTTCGAGCAAATGTTCTGAACTAATACTTTTATCAGAAAGGGTTTTTGTAGATATTATAGTAATTTCAATAGTTGATATCATGAGTCAATTGAAGCTAGACCACCATTGCGTTCGCGCAAGAGACCGGAAGTCCTGGGTTCGGAGCTCGCGAGGCGGTATTGTGAATGCTAAGGAGTCCCACAATGGGACGAATTGGCCGTCCAGTGCTTCCAGATTTAAATCCATCAGTAATCAGGAACATAACTTTTGATAAGTAAATGAAGTTTTGTTTAAAATTCAAAATGAACATTGAGAAAGATAGACTTGCTTTAATACATCAGATTTTGAACTACAATGATATTTGCTCTTATTTGAAGTTACTTTATATCATGAATCATCATTAAGTGAAGAACTATTGGAAATAAAGTATTAACAGATAGCCTATTAGTAATAGTCTTGGATCACTACTTAACAGTGTCCACTAACGACCCAAAAATTGATTTTATTACACTAATTCAGAATTCAGTTGTCTATATTACTAATTTTCGTGTTAGATTTACTGACATTATGTGTAGCAAGTTAAGGAAGGGATAATGGGAATATGCAAATCAATGGATTATAATCGAATATTTTAACTGTAAATTCATTGCGTTAAGTATTAACAGATAGTTTGTCGTTATACCTATTTTATTATAAATATAGATAGTAATTAATGCTGAATGTTCAAAACATTTTCTTTATTAGATAAGGCAACAAGCAGAAAATTTGATGTTTGTTTAGTAAGCTAATTTACTCCAACTTTATATCAACATTTACCGTTATTATAGGAAACTTAATTTTAACTTCAAATGACTTTCACTATTAAGTTGTAAGTAGTTTGAATAATATTAGTACATCTTTTACATCGTTTTATATTAGTCAGTGTTTTGTATTTGTTAATACAATTAAGTTGTACTTAATCATATCCTATGTCGTCCACAAATCCAGAATTAAGTATTCCTTCCTCGTGTTGATAATAATCTACCGAATGGTGTTTAGGCTCAAACTGCAGAAGGAATGGTTATTATGTCTATAAAGACCAGATCTGCGTTTTCAGAAAAAGCATGTTTAGCTTTCTATCTTTCCTTCTCAGACCCAAGGTCCTATAGACCATTAATAATTTAAATTATGAAATGACTCGATTATACTAATGACTATACCAATCCACTACGTCTTCAAACCATAATTTATCCTAATTACCTATTATTATGAGTTTCCCTGAATAGTTTATGTGGTGTTCATCCCGTATTTTCTATTTTTCAACGTTTTGTAATATGTATTTAAACAACAGGTGTTATTAGAAGTTCACCCATTGTCTCGCTTAACTTACAACCTAATTACTATTCTGTCAACCTGACTTACAAACTGTTTTAAGTATGCATTACATGGATGTTATTTCAACGTCTGTTTGAAAACGATAGCAAAGTAAGTTACTTGATTACTAGCAATCCTGAGTTGGCGTCCTGTATCCCGAAAGAAGTATCTATGTTAGACTTGAATATTCTTTTTCATCATTAATTTTTTCAAACATGTTTGGTTCTGGTTTAATACTTAACTAATATTAGCCATCTTAATACATTAGACAATTTTATCTAGTCTTTAGTAATGATAGAATTTTATCTATCAAGTTATAATTTGACCATTAGTCCAAGTGACCAGCTATTACTAAGTAATAATGTCTCTGATTGTGAAGCTGGATAACTCAAGTTTGAATTCCAGGAGATGCATCAGTGACACTATGATTACAGATAATGAATACCAAATACAATGAAATTTAAGTCAAAAAGTTTCATGTTGACCACTTTCGCCTGTCTAACATTTAAATATTCTAAATATATTTGCTTAAAGTACTCTTGACAACAATGCACTTTTATGAACCATTATTTATTTATTCAGTAGATTCTCTATCAATCTCAATAAAATACTCAGTTCATGTTTATTTATTTAGTTTCTTCTTTAAAACAATCGAAGAGATATAACTATCAAGTGTTCACTTTATTACGACATACAATAACTCAAAAACATACCCCACAATCTTAATAATTATACAGACAGTTTTCGGACATTTTAGTTATTTATAAATTAAAAAAACCGAAATGAAAATTTTCTGCTCAGAAACATCCGCTCAACAAAGTTGAAAAAAAAAGAAGGAATAACATCTGATTAATTTTATTCGTTTTTTTTTCTAAGAAAAAATCTCTACTCAAGACTGTGATTGAGTATGTAGTAGTAGTAGTAGTAGTAGTAGTAGTAGTAGTAGTAGTAGTAGTAATAGAAGTAGCAGTAGTAGTAATAGTAGTAGTAGTGGTAGTAATAGTAGTAGTAGTAGTAATAGAAGTAGCAGTAGTAGTAATAGTAGTAGTAGTGGTAGTAATAGTAGTAGTAGTAGTATTAGTAGTAGTAGTAGGAGGAGGAGGAAGGGGAGGAAATTTGTTCAGAAACGAAGTTTTTTATTGTCAAATAGAATTTTATTTAATATAAATTGACATATATTTTAAAATTGATAAAAAGATTAAACAAATAAATCATGATATTTATTTAATGGAAACAATGTTAACTCGAAAATTAATGTTACAATCACTTGACTGAGAATTTACTTACACTTCAATGGAATTAGTGTAGTTTTAGTTGATAATCAGGTTAAACTAATTTTTTAAAATAATTATCAGTATAGGATTGTGAAGATTGTTGTCATGAATGGATCAATGTTAGACCACCATTGAAAAAGGCTGGAAACACTGGATGGCCAATTCGTACTAGTATGGGACTACAAATCAGTGTACGTTTACGAACCTCCCACGCGGGACTCGAACCTAAGACCTTTGTTATTGTGCACAAGCGCTTGACCTCTAGACCACTGGGCTGGTATCCAACGGATGTTAATGTTTAACTTCCAGAAATCTACGATATTGTGAGACCTTCCACCACTATCTTCAGTGAGTAACTACCTCACAACAGACATGGCTGAACTCCACTGATCATGTCTTCTCATTAGAACTCTAGGAAATCCGTTTTGAGGCTAATCACTATTTCTAACATGGATCCACTCAGGATATCAATCTAAACTCAACAATCTCCACGACCTTATACTGATAATTATCATATACTTACTAGTGATTAGCTTCTAGATGGATTTCCTGGAGTTCTAGTGAGAATTAGTGACTAGTGGAGTTCAACCGTGTTTTGTTGGTATCAATTACACTTTAATATTTGAAATATATCTCGTCTCATTCTATAGAATGTTATGAATAATGTTAAATGTGTGTTTATGAAAAAAAACGAAATATTTTTCATAAAATCGAGCAAAAAATTGGAAAGTAAATTAACATTTAAACACTAGTTATTTAAAATGAAGTTATATTTGATAATTTTTTAAATGTTAAATCAAGTAAATTCACTGAAACTTATTCCATATGGAATTACACCATTTTAAAGTTGTATAAATAAATTTTTATTTGTAAAATTAACTTTGATTGATGTTAAGTTACGATTAGACGGTAGATAATAAATAATTATTATTACTGTAGGAGTTTGTGGAGATTGAGTCTTCATAAATTACATAAAACATTGATTCTAATTGAATGATCAGTGGAAACCAGAAACTAACAGATATTTAATTCATCCTAATGTGTGACTTCTTAGCAGTGTGCATCCACTGAAGACTAGGCAATAGACTTTTAGTGTCACTATGAGCTTCTAATCTTTAGTTCAATAAGCCGGAATTCAATGGTGAATATGTCTAATTCCAAATAATCTGAGATATTATACAACCATTTGCTATTACATATGGTAGATTAGAATGTCAAACACGACGAGGTTAAACCGCACTAGTCACGGTTTTTCACTGGAACTCCTGGATTTACATCTCGCAGTCATGCACTGCTGAAGAGTTCCATGATAGGACGAGACATATATTTAGAGGTCTTAAATGCATTAACAAATGTAAATTAGTATCACTGGTCAGTAAATTTGTTGGTTGATTTTAAGTGCAGAGTAATCAACTCAGTATATTGTAGCTATTAAAATGAGAAATATCAAACAGAGCAGCAGTATACTTATTAGGACTAACCCATACTTTAAAAACTGTATAACTCTAATCCATTTGACGAATTTACCAACATTCTTTAATTAGTGGACGATTAACACAAAAAAAAACGAAAAAAAGTTACGTACTTGATTACAATAAATTGGTTCACTCAGTTGTAATGCCCCCTCATCTACTTCTTCTGTCCAGCCCTTAGGTGGAAAGTAACGATACCATTTAAATGTTCTATCAGGTATAGCCGGATTCGCATCAGCTTTACAATCTAAAGCAGCATAGTCTTTAGTCGTTTGTGTTATGTTCTCTTCAAGTTTACCAACAATACTTGCTGGATCTAGTTTTAATTATTTTAAGAGAAAAGAATATGAAGAGAAAATAGAAAATTTGTGTCTAAAACAAGTTATAACTGTAATGATGTTAAAAATATAAACTCTATTAATTGGGAATAATATTCTCGGAGTTATAAGAGATTTTAATAAATTGAAACTGAAAAATGGTTAAATGTCATTTCAAACACCTACATGATTCATTCTACGTGATAGTGCAAACGACTCAGATATAAAGACTGTTGATGTGAAGATATATACAAGACATTTTGTTTTTGTTATTAGTGATGTTGATTTCTCCGAGATAAATGGGTTAATTGTGAAGCTTTCATTGTCATTATTGACATGTTTATGTAGAAGTACATGATATGTGAATGATACTTTTAAAATGTCTGATTAAGATATGAGCACTCTTCAGGCAACAACGTTATACAAGACAGTTTGTATTTAGATATAGTTTGCTACAATCAATAAAATATATGGAGATTTCGATTATTTATTTATAGTCGTTTAAACGTTTCTCGCAGCCATAAAATCTGTGAAACACTTTGCTGAAACTCAGGTAAATCCCTTACCATGCTCTTTCTATAATAATGGATTTCGGAACTCATTGTACAGAATAATATTAAAAGCTTTTATTCAAGGACTGAACTCTATGTATTCATGTGATTTTTCCAATCACAGCCGTTTATTCACTAGTGGTAATACTCCACAGTAGTAATAGACAAATGTATCCAATCTTTAACTTTAGTTGAAAAATTAAATGACATTCTATGCGTTTGGTCGTTTACAGCAATAAGAAGAATCTTCTATTTTTAATCAAACTAACAACTCACATGTAACATTAAGAAAAAATGTATTTCGTGATTCATGTTGTGAATTAGAAACTACCACTGTATAATTGCCCATATTTTCTCGATTAATTTTATGTAATGAAAGTAGTTCTCCAACAGAACCAGCTGCAAAAACACCTTGCCATGTATCAGTTTCTTTAGGTTCAAATGGAAGTAATTGATCATTACGAAACCATGAAACAGATGTAACTGGAGGATTTGCATATAATCCAAAGTCTAGATGAGTTGTTTCACCTGAAAAAGAAAACACCATTTTCAAATAATTTATCAGCAATAACTGATTACTTATATTGTGAGATTTAGATCATTATTATAACCCAAACATGTAATTTATCAATATCTTAATGTTGCCAGTTATACTGTGATATAAAGCAATCGTTACGATTGTCAATTATAATTCACTTTGTAAACAATTTTGCTGTTTCAATTTGTATGACATAAAAATTAAACTATTATTATTAATTCCAATGGTTGAGGTCGTGAGTCAGTTGAAGCTAGACCACGATGGAAAACCTGGAGGCACTGGACGGCCGTTTCATCTCATTATAGAACTCCTCTCTTCTCTTTATTGTTTAGTTTTAATTTTTCATGAATTGTTAATGTTGATCTTTGACATTTTATAAGATCCAATAAATTTTGTGATAAGTAATTGAGCATTGAGTTATTTCATTATGATAAAAGTAAATAGATTATGTAACTTGAAGTTATCTTGACTATTATCAGTTATCTATATATTTTTAATCTAGGAAATTAACTGTGTAAGTTATAGAATTCTACTGGAGATCTGGGAAATGTATTGCTCAGTAAGTTCATTGCTACACAAACAGGTGGTTTAGATAAATTAAGTTGTTTGACAAACATTCTGTTTAGATGTTGCATTAAGTATGAATCATTGGTGAATCTTTGGTAATATTAAACGTTTTTTATTCATATTGGCAGCTGACAAGGGAAAATTGAGATCAGTTATTTATATTACCTTCTACAATACAATTATTATACTCGTTTCTACAATTTTGAAAGTGTGTTAAACACTAAAACAATAAATTAAAGAACATCAGAATTATGTTTCATGATAAAACTGAAAACTATAGTCTCTAAATGTTATTTAATCAAATGAAGTGAATAAACTAAATGACAGAAAGAAAATAGTTTGTTAAAAATAGATAAACTCGAAGTGATATTTCAATTTTCATAGTAGTGAAAAGTCTTTAACTTGTCTAAGACAATCGTATATTCCACTGGTTGAAATCATGAGTCAATTGAAGCTAGACCAGACTTTCCATGGTGGTCTAGCTTCAATTGACTCATGATTTCAACCAGTGAAATTTCTAAAAAAATCTCCACAAAACCCATTCTGATAATCGTATATTCATTGAGATTTGTCTGTTGTTTTTACCCAGTAATCCTCTTTCCTAATCGAAATTCTATATTTCTATTCTTATAATACTTCAGTTTCAAGCTGGACCTATTTTAACACATTCTGTGTTATATCTTATGTTAACTTAAAACCATAATCTTATCTATGTCATTTTAATCCAATTGTATATGAAGTAAATTGAAGCAAGTCAAAACTTGTCACGTCAATCTAACTGTTAAGAGCATTCAATAGTAGCTGTATTACTGATAAATAAGAGTTTGTTTACCTGTCATTTTCATTGTTTTGCGAATTAGACTACAGGAAGTCCACTTCCGTCTATATGCTGAGATTTTAGACAGTATTGTTATATTATTCATAATACTAAAACAAGGTTTGTTATACAAGTATTACGTCTAGGTGAAATGTTATTTTCGGAAAAAAAGCTAAATGTTATATTATTCTAAACATTCTATCCAAATTTCTTTACTACAAGTCATTAATAATAGATGCTTTTCAGCTTTATTTAATTATTTTCTTATTGTAATTTAACTTCACTATCTGGAATTTAATCCTCTGGATGAAATATAGTCTTCGGATATTTTGTACCATGTTTTGACTTTTCAATTTAATTAGAATGACTTCAGTATGATACTAGATTTCTGTGTCAGATAACTGCTAGTCACCTATATCTTAGACCACATCAAAAGTTTTACTATTCTGTCTAGATAGTCTCTTGAATGGTGACTAAAAAAACATATTGTAATCATTGTTTGTTTCATACTTATGAGAAATCACAAAACTCGAGTTAATATCTTGTTTATACCAGGTTTCTACTATTTGAATGTATTATTGGTTGACTGTTTTTATAATCAATTGATATATCAAGTAAATATTGTAGAATATATTCTTATGCTTGTTTTTTCCCAGAGAATCAAGTGCTGTATCATCGTATTAATGAATGTTTTCCAAAAAGAATAAGAATAGTGAACGAATCCTCAATTCACTTCATATAATGGATGGAACTCAAAAACGTATATGGTCTAGCTAAACATAAAACGAACGATATGTAGATTTGTAGAGAATGTTTTATTTTTACAATTGAATTGATGAGTCGATTTAAACTAGACCACAATTGAAAACGTGGAAGCACTGGATGGTCGTTTCATCTTAGTATAGATACTTGGTTTTCAATGGTGGTCTAGCTTAAGTTGACTAGTGAATTCAATTGTGAAAATAAAACAATCAAACAGAAAGTTCGCCATCGTAATAAGTGTTTGTTAAATAAAGCAACATAAAATGTTTATGAAGTTTGAGATCAGTGGATTTTTATTTACACCTATGAAATGTTAAAAACTGTAAACAATTAGTGAAGTCGATAAAATGTGTTACATCGTTGAATGTAAATATACTGAAAATTTATGGTTACAAAGTTCACATTTTCCATTGGATTATATAGTTTAGGTTAAATAACGTGAAATATTAGTTACAATATGCTGTGTTAGAGCTTTATTGACGTCCAGATGTCAATTCCGTATATTAAGGATAGTTTACTCCAATAGAGACCTGAAGATACAAAACTTATTTCAGTGAAGCATAATCATTGGATAAACATTGGTGCGGAGTCATAAACAAGAATCAAAGGACTATCTAGAATAATTTACATTTTAATGATTCTCTGATTTTAATCTCTAGTAAAAATCACATTCAAATCAACCAGTTTACCACAAACCACTTAAATATTTAACTCTATAGATTAGTATTAAGGAAAACAACGCTGATAAAGGTGTTCAAAATCAAACCAATGATAGTTCGCACGCTTCACTAAGTTTATACTCAGTAGCATATGGTACTTTTCAAATGCTACATTTGCAGACGACTAGATTTATCACTCGATAAACTATCACCATATATGAAAGAGTTAATAATGTTTCGGCTATGTGACTAATAATTCATCCATTCTCTGTGTAGCATGATATAAGTTTCAAATTCTGAAAAAACATTCTTTTCCCTATGAATCTAAACAACAGTTACAGATGAAAGAAGGCAATTACAAAGTCAAAGCATCACATATCTTTCAACTATTCAACATTAAAATCTCTTTCATCAATATTCATTTATACTAATACATAATCTAAAAGTGAACAAATATATATAATAAGTTGGAATGACTCATATCCAATATAGTAGGCAGATAATCATTTATTTTTCTAGAAAGAAATATTATTTTATTAATTTTAATTCTTAACTCCGCCTGGAGTCCCTGCGTGGGCTACTGCCGGTCCCAAGCCCAGATAAAGGAGGAGGGTTGGACATGAGGTTGGCGACCCCATCCCGTAGAAAACTAACTCGCTAAAAAAACGCTAACCAAAAATTATTTAAACCTAAGTAAACTTAATTTTTATCTAAGTGAATTTACTGTTCATATATTTAAAAAACCATCTTATTTACATGTAATATTAAGAAACATTAAATATAATCCTTAAGAAGACAATTTACATGATTATTACTACTATTATTACTATTATTATTATTATTATTATTATTATTATTATTATTATTGTTATTAGAGTAAAGGCCAATGAGTTGCAAGCGAAAAATAAAAAAAGGACAAAAAACCGACTTGTAGTTATAGTTACATAAATAATTTTGTTACCCCATTTAAACTGTGAAAAGTATTTATTTACTTTTATTTTAACAAAAAAAACAACAAACAACTAATACAATGGAGAAGGAAATTTCATTGTCTAATTGATTAAGTTAGATTTTATAAAATACAGAAAAGAATCATTCATGTTTATGTTCTATTCATCTTTTTTTTTAAGGAAAACTTCAGTTGAAATAAGCCAAAATCAATAAATCAGGACTTAGTAGATTAACATATATATATTCTACATTGTGTCATAATGATTGATTATTTATCTAAGCGAACATATGAATTATTCGTAATACTAGTATTGACTATTAAATAAATTTAATAGTTAAGATCATGAGTCAATTAAAGCTGGACCACCATGTAAGATCTGGAAGCACTGGACGACTGTTTCGTCCTATTGTAGGACTCCTCAGCTGTGCACATCCACAATTCCAACCCAGAACCTATCAGTCTAGAAATCAACCGTTCTTGAGTGAGGTTTTTCAAGTGATCTAGCTTCGAGTGATTCATAAATTCGACTAAAAATAATTAAGTAAATACTTGAGGATTTTGTAAATAAACAAATGTTTAATGGATTAGTTATAAAATGATTGATTTTTCTCTTACAATCATTTGTACAAGTTTCAGAGGAATTTTAAAACCTAAATTGTTTTTATTTTCTCAAGAAAATGTTTCCAACTAAGTTTTTCATAGGATCTTTTTGTTGTTGGTGGTGGAATTACTTCATTTGTTCATTGATGATGATATACATGCACATAATGTATAGTATGTTTAATGTTTTATGTAAATTTTAAACTAACATGGAGATAATTTTACAAATTAAGGAAGTTCTAAATAAAATGTAGCAAAGAAATCAAATTGAATTCATTAACTATAGGTTAGAAACAGGAAATCATAAACTAGAAGTGCATATTTTAAATAAGACGAGTAAAATTTCATTTAATAGGTGATGGGGGTGATTTAAGAAAACTTTTATTAAAGCCTAGAAACTATTGATCAATATTTTGTGAATGGTTTGAAATGACTGGAAATGTATATGACCAGAGAAAAAAAAAGTGTTAATGAAAGTTTTATAGAAACTTACATTCTTTATAATTGTTATATAATTTTCAAACTATTTTCAGAGATGCTTTTATGAATGTTACAATGAACATCAAGAAAGGAAGTAACAATCATTTGTTGTTATTTAATTTTAAATAATTTTCAGATTCATGTAAGATTATCATGGGAATTACCACCGTAGTGATCACGATAATATGACAGAGTGAACAGAGAAAACATCAACTTTGAGATGCAAGTACACCTAGATGATGACGCAAAAAGTTTGTTCTGGATTCCATTGATAATCACCATCTGTCTTTGCTTAGATTAGTAATGTTCGAATGGTTCAAGCTACAGTAATTACATGTCTACGAAAAGTATCTCTCCTATTCTACTACTTTACCATTATCTTAAGATCCCCTCCAATTTAATCAGAAGTTCATGCTATATTCTTAATTTTTATCATTCAATCAATCAAATCAACAATTACCCCTTATATTTATTTTATAAATTACTCATTACTATTACTTATAAAACTATTAAGCAACTTATTATTCAATACTGGGAAATGTTTAATAGTTTCTTCATTTTATTTAAGAATACCATCATTATTATTCATCGTTATGATTTATGATATATTAGATGAATGAATTACATCATTAAAGTAAATCTTAAGTAAATTAATTTTCTTCAATTAGAATATTTATGATTTTTCATTCAATATGTCAATGTTAAAATTGACTTTAGCAACAAACTATTTTAAAGGATAAGAAGAAAGTGAGTATTCAATTCAAGTCTCTTTCACTATTCAATCCGATTACTTTACTTTCTAGAAAAATAAAACAATGTCAATGTAAATGGTTTTTCTTAGAGATAGATTCATTTTACTTGAAAAGTTTGATTAGAATACTATTTCTATGTTACATAGAGTGTTACATAATTTTAAAGGAATATTTATGTACTACAGTTGTATATGAATTTGCATTTATCATTATCAATAATCACTAGTATTAGTTATCTTATGTTAGCTCATTTTAGAAGTTTATACAATAAAAAAAGGTCTAAAATGGATTTTTCTTCCTAATAATGTTCAGTGTGACAACAAAAACATATGTCAGAAACAAGTTTTTGAATTCATCTCCATGACAACCAAGTAGAGTTAGAGACATAATTTGTCGGTATATTACGAATTGATTAAAGATTTCCATGTAAACCATTGGATGACGGTTCAGAGATCTCTAGATTAAGCTGTAACAGGAAGACCTGAAAGTTCAAGAATCGAACTTGTATAGAGTAGTGGTTGTGCACTGATGAGTTCTATACTAGAACGAAACAACGGTCCAAATATTCTTGGATTTGTCTGGTTGTTTGAGTAAGCTTATTTCATGATGTCAACCAAAAATTTTGAAAATCTTCACATACCCTCCCCATTAAGATATGATATTTTGATGTTCGTTTATTAGAAATTGTAGAGTGATATTGTTTTAGTTTGTCTAATTAATCACAATACTATTTAATGAGTGATCCCAAACTGTGCAGTTTGGAAATGTTTTACCAGTTCAGTTGAATCATCACTAAAATACACACATCCATTTACGGATCATTGTATGGAAATCAGCTGAAGTCATAGCTTCGTTCAGTTATTTTAAATGATGCAACAAAATAATACAAGTTCCTTTGTCACGAAGCTATTTATGATAAAGACTGTAATTAAACAGTCACTAATTCGTACACCAGGATTGAATAAACAATGTTATTTATTCATTTATATAAAATATTTAGTGTAATGGTTCTTTGGCCTAGCCTTAACCATAATAAATTCTTAATTGTATACTGAATGGTATGATATTAATATCACTAGTAATAATCACGACAAACGGAATGTCATGTTTCATATTTCGTTAACATTATTTAACTCTATTTGTAGTAGCACACCACTATATAGTGAATCTTCCTCAACCTTTTCTTACAGAAAACTCAAACTGATAACTCAGATTGTAATTATTTATGAAGTAATTGCAGTGAGATTCATTATTCTTAATCTTCAGTACTAATCAATTTCATATTTATATTCTAATGTACTGGCTTTAGTAATGGAATATTTAGATAGTTCTGATCACTGACTGACTTCAGCAAGACAACTATTAAAAATTAGGAAACTGAGCAGATGCTTGATCTTAGCATGATACTGTAAGCAGTACAAATCCTCTAACTTCTAGTAACTGAACTCGGAAGGTTCAGATCTCATGTTCAACACTTACAATTCAGACTACTGAGTCAAAATACGGTCGTCAACCTTTTTGATATTAGTTGTTCTCCAATGGTGAGAGACCATAGTCCATTGTCATTTGTGATATTTCTTTCACTGTCAACAAGGTTGAACATTTTAAGTCATTAGAAATTCATTAATTGTGTTTGAAAGTTAGTGAGAAGTAAACCTATGATCATTGTTAATAGGGAATATAGTGGTTGTTTTCGCAAAAATAATATTCACAAATTATAGAGTTCGATGACTTAAATGTTCTTTATTTTTCAAACACAATAATTATGTTGAGCTATAAAAATGAAAACATTACGGTTATCTTGAAATTCATGTAAGTAAATAATTGATAACACTTGGTAATGCTGCAATATATGACTTATCCATAGATTAATCTGTAATTTATTATTCCCATATTAGGAAAAGAGAATTTTGGAGCAGATGTAATAACAAATTCATTTTAGTTCTCGATATTGTATATGTAAATTTTGCAGATTACATCAAAATACTTTTATATGGATAATAAACGCTTCACATTGAAATAATCAATGAGATTATAATTTATGGACGAATCAATCAGATACAAGATAATAGGTCTCGGATTTTGGCACGACATTCACTCATCCATTTGGCTAGATGGAGTTTTGGCACTATAGCTGATATCAGTTCATGATGAAAACGCTAGATCTAATTCCTTACATTAAACATGAACTACAAATCATAATTGTAATACCTCACACTGGTTTATGACCCTCATTTGGTCCTAATTATTAAATGGACTGTCTCAACATTTAGATGGTGGTTGGAGCTAGTCAACAGGAAACCCTGGACCCGGGTTTCGTGCTACTTGGCACTCGTCAGCAAGGTGTATCTGTAATCTTGAAGGAAATGGTGCTCCCTGGCGGATTCGATCTCGTGTCACCCAGCTTCACATTCAGAGACGTTACCACTGAGCTATCCGAGCCGCGACTGACCTCCTGTAGGACTGAGATGTAATCACAATTGATTGATCACTGGGTGGTGATCAATGTCATGCCTGTCTAGTCCTTGTTAGTGTAGATCGAATGATATCGATCACGGGTCCAGGGTTTCCTATTGACTACCTCCAACCACCATCTAAATCTCAATACATAGTGCCCGCAGTGTCGAGTCACCTAGACTGGTGGCCACATTGCAACATGGTCGATAGCATTCGATCTGCACTAATAAGGACTAGACAAGCATGACATTGATCACCACCCAGTGAACAATCAATTGGGATAGTTTCAAGGTCATTCTAACGCCGCTCAAAGGTCGTCCATAAATTATAGTCTCACCAAATAATATATTTAAAAGGAAGTTATATGTGAAGATAAATGTTCCATAATCAAAACAAGTGGATAAAATAAGTTTTGTCAACTCAATGATATATGATTGAATCAAATTAGAATTAGACATTGGAGTCCGTCGCATATGACGTTTTCTTATAAAATTATCACTTACCTTCTCGTATTACTCGGTGATCATCTACTTGAAGCCCATAGAATTGTGGTGCAAATGTGATATTTAATTGAAGTCTATCATGCCAAATAGGTGGACCATAAACTGGATTCTCCGCTTGGCATTCAATAAAGTCCATATGATATCTCCAAGTTGGACGTAACCATAAATGACTTCTGGCTAATAAACCACCGGATGCTCCAGGAATAGGTGTTTCATCGGAACCTAGTTCGAAAGATAATCATTGGATTTCTATTATCTGAGAACTATAAATCATAAATCAAACTTTATTTTTAGTTCGATTGATATTATTTACAACACAGAATATCCAAATCGTCTACAAACAACCACAGAATATGTGAATCCTATTACATATAACATCTTTAAAATCATATCATACTATTAAATGGTGGACTACACAACAAAAGTCACCAGACAGTGTCTATAAACACAATGGTCCAGTATGTATAAATCGTGTTCAGATGACGTTTTCAGAATGTCAACGGATTTAACCAAGTTATGAAGTTGTAGTAACTAAAAATTCATTTAAAAAATACGAGTTCCAAGTAAAAAGGGATAAACATTTAGCTTCCAAAATTGTATTTTAAGACTTGGACAGCTGTATATATTTTCGGTTAATTATACTTGCGTAACTAAAAGGATAATTCTAAATTCTGATCACTAGTAAAGGCCTATTTTTTTAGTTGTTCTCTTATTATCTGATTTATTAACTTTTCTGCGCCAAACATATACAAGAAGCGGAAATTGCAAATTAATGGATTTGACCATTATAGTCTCCTCATTGTTATTAAGTTTTCCAAAATCATCTTCAAACTGTGTTCACAGGATATAATTTAAGACCACATAGTGTATTTAGGAACAAACAATGTGGAAATGAATAATTGTCTTCGATGACTTCTTTATGAGACTCTGTAGTTATAAGTCCATAATAATTATATTACGATGGGTGGAATAAGTCATGTAAACGAATTAGACACTATTATCTGGGTGTTAAAATAGAGCACCCTGGCTTCCGTTAAATCTTCATCAAGTCGAAGCTGTCTTATTTGTTATTGAAACACATTTTCTTTTCTTTAGAAAGTTGTGATATAATCTTGTAGATGACGTATCTACTCTTTTTGTTCACTTGTATGAAATAAAGCAAATATGGTTGAAGCGTTATTGTCTTGTAACGCATAATTAGTAAAGTGGAATCTATGTCTCCATACATTAAAGATGAGTGCGAAGTCTTTTAGAAATTTCGCAAGTTTCATAATAAAGAGAAAATGACCAGTAATAACGTCTAGAATAATTTAGAATTTTTATGCCTGATATTAATAAAATCCTGTCACTAACATATATTTACCAACAGCATAAGTCATAACAAGTTTCAATGAATATTGAACAGTGCTATATCGTTGTACTGTTTAATGCCTTCAGTAATGCTCAACAATAATCCTTTATGAAGAACTACATTCATTCTTAAGGATTATCAAATCAAAAACACCATTCTCAAATACTGAATCATTTGTTTTAGTCAAATTTCGTTAACTGCAATTGAATGTATTCTGTAAAATTATATCTTTAATGGCAACATCACAACCATCTTTATTCTAGTTGTTTGATTAAGTATCTGTAATGATGGAATTAAAAAAAATTCTTCACAAAATATACCATTCAAAATTTAGCAATTATGTTGATTCGTTTAACCAACAGTGAATTTATCTGCTTTCAATAAGCATTATATGTGATTCTATTAAAACCTTTAAAAAAAAACTGTTTGAAGAGATAGAAATGATCATACAGTCACTGACAGTAATTAATGTTACCTTTTAGTTCTAATAATTTACACTTTTCCCCTTCATTTGTACTACTACTAGATTTTGGTAATTTTTGTTGTTGTTGTAATAAATGACGTCGATAAAACGCATGAGCTGGTCCACATTGATAATGACGCCATGTGATAACAGCAACTGGATTTGAACTATCTGCTTGACAGTTGATTTCAAGTTGTTCACCACTTTGAACTACCGATTTACCGCCAAAATTTAAACTTACTCGTTGTGGTGGAAATAAAACATTTAAAATTATAGCTTCACTATCTATCCATTCATTGTTTGTTGCAGTGTTACGAGCTGAACAACTGTGAATAAGTATATAAAAATAAATGGATAAAAATTAGTATGATATGTGTTTCATGTTTGTGTGTATTGGCATACAGTAGGCAAATAAAATACAGTGTTGCATCAAATATATATTTCCCATACTTGTACTCCCTAAAATGTATTGTATGATTATACTTTATACCGATATAAGTACAATTTATAAGTTCATAACCAAACTGAATGACTCATTTTTTTTCTGTTTGTTAGTCGTTATGATTAATCCTATTGTTTTATGATCATCATTTTATTCAACAGATACAATTTACTGCATATTCAATCAGATGGAATGTTATTAAAAGTGTCCAGTTTTGAAGAGAAGTATCATGAAAGAATTTAGTATCAAATTTAAACTCTATAAAAGATCATTTCGAATAATATGCAATAGAATGAAAATTGAATATTAAGTATTATTTTACTAGAAATGTTCTTTTATTTGGTTTCAAGGGATATGCGAAATGAGAATTATTCAATTCAAGGTTACGTACTTTGTAATATGTTGAATGAATTTCGTACTTCTGTTCGAAACAAACCTATCCCTAATATATATATATATATCAAGAGACTCTGGTTCAGGGTGACTAGTTAAAGGTTACGGTAGTTTTCATAAATTTTATTGTTGTATTATTGTCAGAGATGATCGATTTTATTCATTTAGTTTTGTTGTTGTGCGGCAATTAATTACACCATGAAATACAATATCAATGTGATGTAATTCTACATTCATCTTTATTGTCTTAACATTAGAGAAAGTTTAATCAATAAGTACATTAAAGTATGATATTTTTCATCATTAGATAAGTAGTCACTAAGGAATTTAAATGTCTTATGAGCTAATTAATGACATGTTTTACAAAAAAGAAACATTATATACCAGATTTTTATTCCCTATTAAATGAAATAAGAATAATTTATCAAGAATATATCAATGTCCAAAATAGTGTTCAGTAATAAACTTGGCACAATGTTTTTGTTTTTAATCCGAAGCTAATATCATTTCATTGATAGAATCAATTGTTTTATACAAATGTTCATTTAGCCATAAAAGTTGTTGATATATATATATTTAATGATTATAAACTGTAATTAGTTTACTGGTGTCAATTTACATTGATTCAGATTATATCTAATAACCATAAAGAACGGAAATATATATTACTGAAATTGTATGTATTATTAACTAATTATACCATAATAATGTCTAAAGTTGTTATAAATACTTCTATATAAAAGATCTACTTAGTCAACTATATAATTTATTCATCAATCTAAGTATAGATAGTAAAGTTCTTTGAGTTAGTACATTTCAGACATTTAGGTATGTAGGTATATTTAAAGAAAATAAGTAAAACTTTATGTATTTATTAAGAGTTTTATTCAATGCTCAATCTTATTTACCATAGAGACTTTAATGATAATAATACTGTTTGTTACTAATCATATCAAAATCTATTTAATCTTAATAAACAAAAATGAGTTCTTTTAACATATTACAAGAGTATAAGAAAACATACTTCACTTAATTATGACTAGCACACAGAAGTACTTGTAAGTAGTAGTGTTAACCAATTGGAAACAATAGTTATAATAATAATAAAATTAGGTTGAATAGGACTGGCATTTTAGCTTTTTCTTTAAACTAGAACTTTCAATGTAATTCTTATTCTAATTGTAAATGAGCTTTCTTTCGTTACAAGAAAAAAATGTGGTCTTATTGTTCAATACAATCAAAAGTTCTAGACAAACCGATAAATAAATAAATAAATAAACGTAATAAATAAAACAAACTTAACAGAATCATGTACCGGCTTTAGTTACTATGTGTTTTATGATAAAAGCGTAACATAACTAAAATTAACTGAAAGAAAACGGAAATCATAAAGCAAAACAACAATAGCGTACAATCATAATCATAATAATTAATAAAAAAATAACTAGTATAGAACTAGTATTAAACATGAGAAAAAAATCAGCTTTAATTCTTTATTTTTGTTTTGTTTTTTTTTCTCATAGACATTTGCGACGAAGAAACAAAAGAAAATAAGAGGCCAACAATTATATTAAGGCTTTATAAGATTAATAATGGATAGGTTTAGGCAATAAAGATTGATTTTGAATAAAATTAGTTAAAAAAATGTGATAATAAATAAAGTATGTAGTCGGAATGTCTAAATAAAGAAATACAATAGTGGTGGAGAAGATTTGTAGCACAGGTGGTTGATTTTGATGGAATTGTAAATGTGTATGTTGTTATCTTTATTTTCTTTTGATGCAATAAACAATTCATTGTATTATCAGAATGGATTTTGTGGAGATTTTTAGAAAATTCACTGGTTTAGATTATGAGTCAATTGAAGCTAGACCATTATGGAAAACCTGGAAGCACTGGGCGACCGTTTCGTCCTAGTATGGAACTATTCACCAGTGCGCATTCACGAACCCGCCCTCACGAGATTCGAACCTAGGACCTATCAGTGTCGCGCCAGGCGCTTAACCAACTAGACCACTGAGCCGGGCATCCAACGATGCTAGTATCTAACTTCAACCAATCCACGAGGTTGCTCCACCGTACACCATTGTCTTCAGTGAGTTCCTATCTCACAACAGACCTGGTTGAACTCCACTGGTAATGACTTTTCACTAGAACTACAGGAGTATCTCCGGAAGTGAATTACTAGTGAGCAGGTGATTATTATTGTCAGAATGAGTTTTGTGGAGAACGAAACGGCCGTTCAGTGCTTCCAGGTTTTCCATGGTGGTCTAGCTTCAATTGACTCTTCATTTCAACCAGTGAAAATTCATCATATACTGGAATTCTGGGATTTAGTATACAATATATGTTCTTTGTAAATGTATGATTAATTTGTCGTTGTTAACACCTTCTATTGTATGTATATTACCAATAATACTATAGTGAAGTGGTTATTTGTAAATTAAATGATAACCCCAGATATAAGTACATTTTCTAAAAAGAAAAACTAAATATTTTAGAAGGTTTCGGCTCAAATCTATAAAATAATTGAATAGAATGATCATGTGTTTTCAGTTGTTAATGTCTAGAAGTTGAATAAGAATAGTGAACTATTGTATGCATAATGTAAATATATATTGATGGTATATGTTATCTATAATTATGGGAGTAATAATAATCCGGCTATAAAATTCAGATATTCATTAAAATAGTTTCCATGTAATAGTAACACTAGTAGTTATAAGATGTTTTCCAACTAATAATGAAGTTAACTTATCATATAAACTAATTATGAATTTCAAATGAAAAAAAGATTTGTGAAAAATTATATTGATTATTCGGGATTCGAATGATAAAAGTAAGTATAAACTTAATGTAATAAAACTTACTGATATTCAGCACCGTTATCCTCTTTTTGTGGTACAAGCTTTAGTTTAATAGTAGTTTGTTTTCCAATAACAATTGGTTCACCATTGTTTGTGATCGGTTTTTTATCTATGTAATGTAAATATGTAATGTAGAAAGATGTATCCATTATCACAACGATATACACATATCAATAGATTAAAAAGGGTTATCAACTTGATCTTAGCTTTCTTAGATTTTCTTCTAATTGATTTAATACCATTGACTTATCATTATTTTCTAATAATCGATTTATGTCTCATTCAATAAAATTTCACTGAAAGGGGTTTGATTTATAAAGTATATTTGTACAGTTAAGTAAAAAGAAGCATAAACTAGAATCATGCTTCAAGTTTTAATCTGAAATCCACGTCCTGAGTTGAAACGTACTCAGATCAGCAGAAAGCCAAATTTTTTTAAATCGTTGATAAAAGCTATAAGAAAGTCAGTTAACTAACTTGAGTTAAAGCATTGAATGAAGCAATTTGTTTTAATATAGATAGAAATCTATTCGATAATACGGATTATTCATCGGTAAGTCGTTTACATATTCTAGATATTATAATATAGTTGTTGAACGTGTCGAAATATTACTACAGCAGTTGGCCATTTCTATGGCTAAATTAAAGTATTATCGAAAACGCCTGATAAACATAACAAGTTTAAGCCGAAAATTAGAATTTATTTAGTTGTATTTAATCTTAGTAACATACTAAACAATATCAGAATACAGATAGAGAAAAGACATCTAAATTGGATTTAAATGCAATGTCAATTTGCCTTATATATAGCAAACTACTGAAATATGCAATCAAATTATTTATATCTAATAATTTAAACAAACATAATTAAGTAAATTTGATAAATAGATGAATGTTTCATTGAATCTTGGTCATACATAATCAAATGTATGACCTTTATTGGACTTACAATATAAAGTTCATTTTATTCGGTAACATGAAATATAGATATGATGCTCTCTTTCAGTAGTTATGTCATCTTACTCAGACAATTGAATAACACCAGTAATATCACTTTCATTGATTAAGCATTTAGTCATATATTATATTTATTCGCTAAATTTTAATAGAAATTTGCTTTTCTTTTAATCATGATGATGATTTAGCATATGGATTAATTATTCTCATGACAAAACATAACATTCTGTAATCGTTTATGGTAGATTACTTTATCTAAACTGAATTCTAATTTGTTTTCAATGGACAAAAATGAATCAATGGGATGAAGTACAGTGTTTTAGGTAAGTTGAAAAAGCTTGAACAAAAAGAAATGATAAGTATTACATTTAATGTAGAACTTTTATAAGTTTGATGCAATACATTGATGAATTATTTCTTAAAACTTTAGAAGCATAATATAAATCAGTAAAAACACTGGGTAAATTTAGTTGAGAAGTGAAACTAGAGAATACCTCTTAAAATCTGTTCCCTACCAACCTGTGTATTCAATGCGTTTGGTTTGTTAATTTATATCTGTGTAAGTTACTTGGCTAACAACTTTCATTTTGTTGTTTAAACGTATTTTGACATTCAGTAGGAATAAACAACAAGCTACTTTCAAGTCTGTTGATATATAGTACAAACCATAGGAAAACAAAATATCTATGTAATTAATAAGATATTTTTAGTAAGAATACTAATTACTATTTAACTAAGCAATAATCATAGTAAATTGTTACTTAAACTACACTTACCTTTAAACCACTGGAGTTCAGGCAGTGGATTGCCACCTGTGGTAGTACACGTAAATTCCAAAAGATGAGCCATGTTCACTGGTTGGCCACTTTTATAACCAGTAATCTTTGGCGTATCTGGGGGATCTGTAAATAAATTATATTAGTAAAAATAAGGTTCATTGTGGAAAGCGTATTTAAAAATGTTTATTCAAAGAACGTTTAGTGAAATGTTAAAAGTTTAATTCTTGACTTTTATTCTAAAAGATTGAAGTTTCAAAACCTTTTGTCTGAAATATTACAGTTAATCAAACATCCATTTTACTTTATTCTACATCGTTTGTATCTCGTCTGAATCAATAAATCTATGCTTAAAGTCTTTCAAAAACGTCTTTGAGTCTGTTATTAAAAATAATAAACACTGTGATTTAATCTTAGCACACGATTAAATAGAAGAACTTGTAAATATTCAACTCTGTAGGTCTGTGACGTGGTTAATAATTAGAAACCTGTCTTTATAGCCATCAAGATCGTCATCGTTCTTTAGATTGAAGGCATATCTTATTTCCCTAATATAAACATCACAATCATGATTTTAAGACTGTTAACTTTATTATTAATTAGTTATATACTTGATTGTAAAATAATCGGATTTATACTTGATATAGATATATTTCTTTTCCTTTTAGGATTTCTAACCTTCTATATTTTATGGTCTCGTTTACAGGCTTTCCTACATTTTACGGCTATCCGTGAAAATTTGTTTAATTCTATACTTTTAAAATTTTAATACAATTTGTAGTTATGTCAGTCAGTTACTTTGAATTTCTGGTTTTCAATTTGGATTTAAGATCTTAGAAATGTTCTCATCACTGGTCCATTATTTGTTAGTATGGGGTTGTGAAGATTGTTTAATTTCACTGCAACCACAAACTGATCTAAGTTGAATGACTAATGAGAATAAGGTAATACCGGACATCAGTTCCGTCCTACTATAAGACTCTTCAGCACTACACAGTCATAAACCAAATTTTTGAAGTTTTAGCAAGAGACACTGATCACTAGAACCAAACCGTGTTGGATGCGAGAAACAATCCTCTGAAGACAATGAAAAATGACCTTACAATATCGTGGGTTGATTGGAGTTAGACATGTATAACATCAGATCCCCGCTCAGTGGTCTAGAGGTTAAATATCTATGCGAGACTCTATATCCTAATTTCGGCTCCCAATTGTGCTGTTGTGTATGTGCACTTCAGAGGAGTATATTGGGATGGAACAGCCATCCAGTGATTCCAGGTTTTCAGTGGTGGTGTAACTTAGATCGGTTTGATATTTCAATATAGTTCATTATTTGATAAAAAATACATGTTATCATACTTTCTTATCAGTTTATTAATAGCAGAAATAAGAATTTTTATACAAGTCATCACATTATATACGACAAACTGGAAAACAAATATTCAAGTAGAATCCTTTAGAAAGTTGAATATGCTTGACTGAAAAACCAGTGAACGTTTACGATCCAGAAGACGTTTATCAAGATTTTTTAGTACGTTTAACTGACAATAAATCATTCAATAAATACATTTATTATATTGATCACATTTAGTTCGTAAAAGTAAATTTGAGTATGGTTCTTGTATACAGAAAACAGAATATGTGAATCAAAATTTCTACTGAAAATCATCATGTGAATTCACAAGAATAGAAGAAATTCTAGTGTAGTCTAGTCTGTTTTTCAAAATGTTAAATGGAATAAACATAAAATAGGATGATGAAAAGTATTTGTCAGCCATTATAGTTTGTCTTAAATCGTCTTTTATTACCTGACAAGATTCAAATTGCCAAATCATATTTGTAAGTGATGCATAGTGAATTATTGAAGAGTACGTGTTTCGATTTTTTTAATTTTTTTAATATAAATTACTCATACTTAAAAATGTTTTTAGTTTATCATATAGACAAACAATAAATTACAATTTGATCCAACCAAAATAACGGTGCTTCAATTCCATCAATTTTCAATGAGAATATTGGTACAGATATGACAGGATGTAGACATGTGTTCTAATTACTTGAGCATGGATTCTTTCAGCTTTATTATAGTCTACAGTTTTTCATATTCAAATGTTACGTTGAATTTACATTTTATTATCTTGAAGAAAATTCGGCGGGACTATAATTTATGGACGAACCAATCAGATATAAGATAATAGGTCTCGGATTTTGGCACGAAATTCACTCATCCATTTGGCTAAATAGAGTTTTACTATTATAGCTGATGTCAGTTCATGATGAAAACCTTAGATCAAATTCCTAACCTCAGCCATCAAGTGTAAATCATAATTGTAATTCCTCACACTGGTTTATAACTCTTATTCGGTTTTGTAGTAAACAGAACACGGGTGGGGACAATCGAATGTATTTGACAAAAAATTACAGGACTTGTTAATAAAATCTAACAATCATAAAGTAAATGCTTAATTTGCAAAATGTCCATCGATTGTCTCAAAATGACTCAGACTTCATTGTTCTTGCATTTTCATACAAATTGCATCCTGTTCCCATTCTTCACTGTTCGGTTGTCTTGTCTCTCTGCTGCCAGACATTCTGTTCACGGCTAACATCATCTACTACTTATGTCAATATAAGTAGCACACACCACAGTTCTAGTTATTAGGTGAACACTCTCACGGTGACTTTAGCGTCGCTCAAAGTCCGTTCATAAATTAGAGTCTCACCAAAAATTCATAACATATTTCTAGGTTCTACATATGATAGTTTCAAATAAATTATCTTTGCAATATTACTGTGCCTGTAAAGTTACATGAATTAGTTGGTAAAAATTCATTATTGTTCAAATATAACTGAATACTTAAAAATCGCTTAACTCATATCTCAAACATAATTATGATTTAAACTAAGCTAGTTATCAAATCACAAATATATATTCACTATTGAATATTTAACAAACTTCTCAACATTTATCGTTTGTGTTATTGTTTAGTATTGACAAACAATAATGATAACAACCATTACTATAATATAATTCTCACCCACTTGTCATTATGACAAATATCAACTTTAGTATAAAGCTAAAATGATAAATAAAACTTGTGAATAGTATTTTTTCAAAATGATTTTGTATTTCTTTTTATCGGACTGTTATTATCAATCGTTTCTAGGGTGAAAAACGTTTTCACAGACATCAGTTTAGTAACTAGATAAATTATTTGAAGTTAAATGATAAAATCAAGTGAATAGACTGAATTTATTCTAATATGATTAATTAGTGATGGAATTCGAAAGAGAAAAGAAGTTTTCAATATACCTGTCTTGATAGACTGCTATGTGTCATTGATAAAAAAACATAAACAGTAAAACTTTATTAGCATCTATTTCAATACCATTTTTAATTTAGATTTTGATAGAAAGCATTGAATTTACAGTCTATATATAAGAAGTTTAATTAAAATGTATTAGTTTGAACAAGTTGTTAATATGAGAATAACTAGAACAACATCTATAAGCGATCAGATTCTCATTAGGTTTTACCCTAATATACAACATTTATATGTATATATAATAATATCAAACTAATTGAGGCAGTTCATTTAGACAAATAATAACATCGAAATTGATTATTTGGCTAAACATGATGGGCAAAAGGTAGAAACTGATATTTGAGTTTATTATACTTAGTTAGGTAATGTATTTTGTTATTAGTATTGACTAATGGAATGCCTCGATTGGATTGGTATTTTCATATATGCACACAAATATTGTGTATTAATATGAAGCAAAAATGAGGATCTGACTGAAAGCAATATTGTTCGGTTATATATTTTGTTCTAACTAACAATATAAAATTCCATATCATAATATAAAATAGTTATTCTGTAACTACATGATAAACGTATTTCATAATAGTATTATTTGAATATTGTAGTGGTTAATCTTACTGGTCTCATTTGTTCTTCATTCATTGATAATATAGAATTTCTTTAACGATTATTTTAAATTACACATGGTTGTATATGGTAATAGAATCCAGTACATTTCTTTAATTTTAGTTCATAGCATTTGAAATCTTTGGTCTTAAAAGTGTTAGACGGAAGATCAGTGTTTCAAAATGAACAAGATTACCAGCATTTTGATATGTTTACTAATCTCACTGCTGTCCGGCAATGAATACAAACACAATAGTAAATCTAATAATTTAAGCGAATATATATCTGACGAAGAGGAACTCACGGATAATATCTAGGCGAACTCTTGAATCAATGCGTGCATCTCCAACACTCCAAACAAGACAATCTATATAACTTCTGTCATCTTCTGGTCGAACAGTGATTTGAATCCGTGACTCTTGATAGACACTCTCTCCATCCGGTGTTTTGAATGTGACAGCTTTATCAACCAGTTGTTTCGGTGGTGTTGTAATACTAGCACCAGCTGCTTGAAATAACCACTTAATAGTTGCCTGACCGTAATATGGAGCAGTTTTGCAAATAAATGTTTTCATTTCACCGGCACGTGCATATGCTACTTTTTCATGGCGTCCACCAGTATGATCGTCATCAATGCTACCACTTTCTACCGAAATTGTGACATTAGCTGGTGCATCTGTTATGGAATACAAATGAATTGTCAATTTTTCAACGATCATTTTTAATAAAAATTAATAAAGCTGACGAAAATTAGAAAAAGATTATTATTATTAATAAAAGATAAGATGGAATAGTTGGTTCCGTTGCTTAAAATAATAATTATAAAAGGAACTGTTATTTTGAAATGTATTACATATTACAGTACTAACACGACTAATACATCAAAGAAATGATTGTAAAATCATAGGCCTTGAATATTGACATTTGAGTAATTGATAATTTCCTAGGAATATTATTTATCATCAGATAGATATGAAGATTAACATGTAGATTGTAACACTAGGTTACTATTTATTTTGGATTAGAATACATATTAATAAATAAGGTTTTATGGAATTGAAGTTAGAAATGCATAATTGAATGAGGAATTAAAGATTCAGTACATCCTTATCTACTTAATATAAATAATTGTTATATTTATGCCATTTTCAAAAGATGATAGATGGTATCATGACAATTTATAGTAGGTTTGATTACAGATTTCACAGCTACTGGTATGTAGACATCAAACCTAATGTACTACAACTGGTGAAAATATAACGACGTATTAAGACTTTTCATAAAATCTACTGTTTTGTGTGTATCTATTTAAAATGAATTTAGTAAATAAAACCTTGATATATTCATACAAAATAGCACTAACAATGTTCGGGAAACAAATGTACGATAAACCAAGATGGATAGTGGCTAGCAGTGGAATTCAGGACACGAATTTCTTCCCATTTGGGACTCATCAGCTGGATGTGCTTGCATATCAGATTTGATGTTTCCTCAGAAACCCAAACCCAGTACTGTTTACTTCAGACGCCACCACGTTATCTACTTAGCTACTGAGTCCTGATAGCCATTTACTTGTGCAATGAAGTGAAATTTAAATTCACTTGGTACTGTATACTTGAATATTAACATTTATGTTTAGGATTGTAAATGATCGGTCTCTTATTAGAATATGTACATACTGTGCGTGTTGCCTCGATATTGCCTTAATTCATAAGCATTACAATTAAAGATGGGTGATGGCTAGAAGTAGAATTCAAGATGCAAGTTTCTTCCTATTAGAGACTCTTCAGCTGGATGTACCTCTATTTCAGATCAATTACAATCCTAGACATCAGTGAGAATATTCAAGTAACCAGTACTAAGTGAATTAAAATATTATGCTTTTTCACAAATAAATAATTGATTTAACAGGAAATAACATTTTTATTGTGTTAGATTGTGATGATCAAACTTCATACATTAGTTTGTATTGTATTGATTTAGAGTAAAACAAACTTAATTTAATTATATCTTTGTCTTTTTACAAAATTGTAATCCAAATTTAAAATTAACCAAAAAAATTTAACAGTTGAATTCGTGAGTCAACTGAAGCTATACCACCATGTAAGCATACCATTGGATGTCGGCTCAGTGGTCTAGAGTTCAAGCACTTGCTCTACAGACCGATAAGTCCTAGGTTCAAATCTCGCAAGGCAAGATCGTGGATGCGCACAGTTGAGAAGTTTGATACTAGGACACAACGGCGGTCGAGCACTTCCAGGTTTTTCATAGTGATCCAACGTCAATTGATTCATGAACTCAACTATTAGATTACTATAATATCCACAAAACCTTTTTGTGTTTATAAAAAATCTAACTGTACCATATATATATTTCTTACAATAACTAACAATTCATACGGTTATTACAAATTTATAATATATAGAAACAAAAAGTAAATTGAAATTATTTAAAATCTGATATCCAATTCAAAATATATTTACCAAACTGAAAACAAAAAAGAAACAAAAAGAAAAAGACAAATTTCTAGTTGATCCACAACAACAACAACAAAAAACTAAACAAAAAAACATCCCATCGAACCATTTGAATGAACTTTCAAAAAGAAAAAGAAAATCTAATTGAATTACACATAGTTAATTTAATTAGTTATTTGACTGAAATTATGTTTGATTCATAGAGAACATTATTTTTTTATTTATTTAATGAATAAATTACAAATCAAATAAGGTTGATTGATTATCAAATAAAAAAGAAAAGAAAAGAAAAACCCAGTTATGTTCTTGTCCATCTTAATTCTTCCTAATATTGGTGATGAATGTATATTTGAAGAAAATGAAATTAAAGGTCAGTACTGGTTGATGTGATTGTCTTTTGGTTAGATATTTTCAAATGAAAATTTTCATTAGTTTAACGAACTTAAAGTATTGAATTTATCTATCTGTCAACCCATCCATCTATCTTGCCATCTAACTCTCCATCTATCTATTTACCATTCTATCTATCTATCTACCAATCTCTCTCTCTCTCTCTCTATATATATATATATATATATATATATATATATATATCGGCAAAGTAAGAGCAGCATATTTACTGGAGAACATCTGCAACTCAAAACAAATGTCAACCAACACCAAAGTCAGGATCTTCAGTCCAAATATCAAGACAGTTCTACTGTATGAGGTGGAAACGTGGCGAACTACGAAAGCCATCATCCAGAAGATACAAGTGTTTATTAACAGCTGTCTACGCAAAATACTTTGGATCCGTTGGTCAGACACTATCAGCAAAATCCTACTATGGGAAAGAACAAACCAGATCTCAGTGGAGGAAGAAATCAGGAAGAAGCGCTGGAAGTGGATAGGACACACATTGAGGAAAGCACCGAACTGCATCACAAGGCAAGCCCTCACATAAAATCTTCAAGGCCAAAGGAAAAAAAAAGGAAGACCAAAGAACACATTACGCCGAGAAATGGAGATAGATATGAGAAAAATAAACAAGAATTGGATGGAACTAGAAAAGAAGGCCCATGACAGAGTGGGTTGGAGAATGCTGGTCAGCGGCCTATGCTCCATTGGGAGTAACAGGCGTAAGTATATATATATATATATATATATATATATAAAGATTATTCAAACAAAAGATTGTTGTAGGTATCATTACGAATGTTTTACTTGGTAGTTTTAAATAAGTTGACCATTGGGTAGATTGTTATTGATAAACAGAATATATTTGTAATATCCTAATAAGTAGATAAATTAGGTTTTTAAATTTTTTGATGTTTCGTGACTTAATGTTAGCTACTTCTTCAAAGAATAAAAAATAATACGTAGCTCACCTTGAGTTACGTAACGTTAGAAATTTTGAAAACTTATTTTTTCTACTCAATGGGATATTGCAAATATATTATTTTCATTAAAAGATACTGTTTATTGTATACACGTCTGCTAAAATTTGTGACCTTATGCCCTATTTATATGTACACTGTAATGATATCGCCAATTAGAGAACAGTGATGCCCGTCAAGTCCAGAATATCAATCTCAGCCTCCGCGATATGTATTATGTATTTCAAACATACTGGGTTTATATACAAATCAAACATACCACATCTCACCATAAAATAGAGAATAACATTTATACAAGATTTAGCCGAAAGTGGCTGTGAATGTGGGAGACTATAATTATTAGACTGGATAGAACTCAAGAAATGTAAATCGTATAATTATAGTCAAAGTGGGTCAAAATAAAGCTTATAATAAGAGGAACATGAATATGCATAGTTTAGCTGCTGTTCCCAAGAGTTACCACTCGGAATTCTCGTCGGGATATAATAAAGCCATTAAAATGTTAAAACCAAATCAAACGAATTCACTCAAAAAAAACGTTGGTAATAAAAATTTCTACTCAACTTTGGATATTTTGAGTAGGAAGACACTATGATCCGTGACATTTTGCAATCACTAATTAGTACTGTTTTAAATATGATATATATTATTAGGAAAACAAGAAATCCTTTAATAATGACACAGTTAAGAAAGTGTAATACTATTACTGATAAAAGCTATCATAATTCATTATAAACTTTATTTTAAATCCATTGAACAGTACAATGAACAAAGTGTTAAGATAATAAGCAAATAATTGTGAATTAACTAACTGAATTATCTAGTTGAATTGAATGATCCAACTCAATTATGTACGTTTGCTCAACTTTACTCACTTTGATATTACATTGTAACTATTAACAAGCATTTCTTTTCTTTATTATTTAGATTCATGAACTGATCGTTAATATTTACTGTTTACTAAATGTATTCATTTCTTGGAATCAAAAAGGGCCTTCTAATACTTTCTGTATAAAAGTGTATTGTGAATTTTAGAAGTATCTACTCAAATTTGAAGATATTTTGCTAGTAACCTCGATGGATGTCTTATTTAATAAACCTATATTTGTATTGAACTTTCTTTAGCATGTAATGTTTTCGTATTCGCTAGTTTTACAGTAATTACCCGATTTAAGCGCATTACGAGAAACTGAACTTATAATGTTGTAAAATTCATTGTTTTCATTCAAAAGCTTGTCTTATCAAGTTATCAGTGTTTTGTTTTTGCCAATTAATTGGTGTTTAGATAAATTTCTACTTCAATCAAAGTGAAAACGAAAGGTTTTTTGTTATCATAAAATGAAAAATGATAGTTTTCTATAACAATCTAAATATATATAAGGACTTTCGCCTAAATTTGATAGGATTGTTTCACAATATTCGGGCACCGGGTTGATGTGAGACATTAACAAGAGAGAATGTATTTGTAAAATCTCAACGAATGAATTTTGAAGTGAATCCAAAGTTTCGTCTGGCAATCTGGTTCAATCGTTTTTAAGGAATTTTATTCAAACATCAAAATTATTGAATATAAATAAGTAAATGGTTCTGCGAACCAGACTGTCTAGCGAAACGTTGGATTTAGTTCAAATTCAATTGCTAAGATTTTACAAATACATTCTTCCTATTTAAATCTAAATAGATCTTTAATGAATTAATCATCTTTTTAGTAAACATTAAGTTCAATATGGGTTCGCGATCACATATGTGTAGTTCCCTTCTAAGATTTTACAAAAAAAAAACAACAGAAATATTTGATAGTTGAATTCATGAGTCAATTGATG